ACTTATGTAGGTTAAAAAAAAGGTACTTTTTTATAATTCACCCCTAAAAAAGGAAATCCAGAAGTTCGCCGGAAATTCATAGATTCTAGAGGTGTCATCGGTTGGGTATGGGTTATGATCTTTGTCAACCATCTCAGAGACCTTGAATAGCCATAACTGTAACCCCAACCCATAACACCCTAAGAATATTGGACTTTCCTGGGAACTCTGGGATTTTTTTCATTTTGGGTGAATTAAAAATAAAGTGCCCCAAAAATAACATGTAAGGAACCTTTCTCAAACTGCTGGCATATAAGAAATCTGATGTTAGATCCATACTTTTATTGATCAACCAACATTCATTTGGGCTAGATAAGAATCAAATCAAGATAAGACAGAATAAACGGTAATAACAAGAGAGGGAAAGGATTAAAACTCCAGCCACATACAAACAGACAATATGAAAAATCAAAAGAATGGAAACTACACATAAGTCAGATCTGTAAAACGGATGTGCACATAAATTTAAAATTATTTAAAAAGACTAGTCTCAAAGTGGACAAACAGCCAGAATTTTCAACCGGAGTTTACGGCTGATGAACACTGACAGGAACAGAAAAAAGGGGATCCGCCATCTTGTCTGCTCTTCAACATGTATACGAGCAAGATATAGACAGATGTCCTGTCATTGCCCTGGGTAGGTTGGTTATATAAACCCTATTCGACAGGGAGGACACAGGCCAGATCTGCTGGCGAAGGAGGCAAAGAAACATGTGGTACTCGACTTGAGCCAGTGGAATCACAGAGAAAGAGAGATTCAGGGGATACAGATGGAGATTGGTGGCTTAGGTTGGAACCTCATAAACGTATATGCCACGGTAGACTATTCTGTCAGAAGGGAACAATAGGACTGGCTCAAGGAATTGGAAGAGTTACCAGGTGATAGGTTGCACATATGTGGGGACTTCAATTCGAGGAACAGAGAATGGGACAGCGATAGGGAATTGCTCTTGCAGATGCCATGGTTGACACTGAAGTGGTCTGCATAAATACTGGGAGGCCAACTAGAATGGCAATGAGGCTGGGCGATGCAGAAACAGCTACTGACTTGGCATTTGAAAAGTAAAGAAAAGAATACTTGGGTACAAACTTCAACTGCCCTGACATACTAAAAGAAATACAATCTGTAAAAAAAAGGTATACTATATACCCTATAACATCTGCTAAAATCAAATCATATTTTATAACACTAGCATGAAAATATATAAAACACTGATAAGACTAATCGCCGTTTATGGTTCTGAAATCAGGAGTACAACTAAAGGAGATGAAACCTTATCACAAACTTCTGAAAACAGTTTCTTATGACGAACATCTGGACGAGTCAAAGATTTAAACAGTGAAAATGGAGAGTGAGAAGAAACAATGAAATTCATAATCTGTTTAAATCACCACAAATTACTGACAAATTATAGTTCATAGACTGCAATGGTTAGGGTATAAAGAGAATGGCAGACAACAGAGAGACCAAAACTGCATTCACAAAAGAGCTGAATGGAAGTAGACCATAAGGCAAGCTAAAAAAAGACAGTGGGCAGATCATATCTAGGCAAAACTTCACAAACCTGGAGTCAACTGCAGACATAATTGAGGTAGGGAGTTATCTGTAGCAATGAACCACCTCAAAGATTTGAAATGCTAAAGTAAAAGAAAAGAAAGCTAATCCATCATTTTAGTCAATACTACAATATCACACAAACATACAGACAGTTACATCAGCATGACTAGAATTCACATAAGCAAACAAGTGTTACAAATATTTACAATGCAAAACCCTACAATGTACACTTCAAACGTTTAATTTAAAAAATAATTAAAACCGGAATCTTTTACACCAGTGACACATTGCACACGGATTAACATGGCAACCAAGGTCCCTTGGCCCACCAGGAAGAAGTAGAAAATAAACCGTTTATATGCCTTGGTGCTTCATAGCGATGATGACCTGGCTTTTAACTGGTCAACTGACCCCAGGAAACTGAACCCCCCCCCCCCCCCTCCCCCCCCCCCCCCCTGCCCCGCCCAATCCCCCGAGGTGAGCTTTAATATGTCAAGTGTTACAGACACATTTATAAATAAAGTTGCATGTGTATTTAAAAAACAAAACAAAATTCCAAGTATCAAAGTGCTGATGAAAATAATGACACACCGGAACATGATAAATGAGATTTCTGGATTAATGCGACAGCAAGGACGTTTAATTATTCTTACTGGATTTAAATGCAAGCGAATGAGTTCAGCTGAGTCAAGAATCGACATCACAGCACTTGGGACACACCCATAAGTGCTCAGTCTTTGTCTTAATCTTCAACAGCCAGCGCAGAGTTCCAATTTAGATGGTATGAGCAGCGACGATCTGATTGTATGTCATCCGTCTTGTCTTTTCACCGAGTGCTATACTGGCCAAATCCCCTGCTCACTCCCATCAAATTGATGAATGAGCCAAGAACACTCCATGCCTGCCCTATCCCCATATTCAGCAGCCATGACAAGTGTTCAGTTGCTAATGCTGCCAGTGGCAACCCGATGCAAATCAAGCACTACTTTTCCTCTATACACTGAGTAAACAGTAAGTAATGTAAAGGACCCTCTTCCACATCTTTATGTGCACTGGGCATATAGTGCTAGACCTAGACCTTTACTGGCTAGACCAATAGGCACTTGGTGGGTGATGTGGTCAACATCATGTCACCGCCTTTACTTCCCAGGACTTTACCTGGTACCGATTTAAGGCTGGGTCAACCTGGGAGCTAAGGTCATTTTCCCCAAAAAAAATTGGCTCTTTCAAGATCTGAATCCATGACCTTTGGATCGGCAGGTGAGCATCTAACCGCTACACCAGGACGGCTCCCAGGTAAAAAGTAAGTAAAAATGGCTATTTTCATACCACATGGCTCATTCAGTTAAGTATGCTAGACCAATATTTTTGTTTGATCAACCGGCACTTCTCGATGGGTGGTGTCAACATCACGCCAGCCATCATTTACTTCCACGGACATTGCTGAATTGTTTTGCTGTGCCCTGTTCACGTTCACCAGCTGTAAATTCTGGCGTAAAGTCCAGGTTTTTTTATCCATTCCTGGACTGACTTTATTTCAAGACCTGAGTTGTGCACGTGCATCTGTTTTACAGATCTGGTTTATTTGTATGCAGATTGTTGGTTCCTTGCCTTGCAGCTAAATGCACTCTGAAGAAAACACCCCTTATACGTCATTTTGGGGGGAAGGGGAGGGGGGTGGTGGTTGTCTATTCCATCATCATCAGTTTTTTTTTTTTAAATCGTCACGTTCAACCACCATCCCCGAAGGTAGAGCTTTAGGTTATAATTGTGACTAGGTTGTCTGCGCCACATAAAATGGCATAGCTCTACACACCACCAAGAGCCCTGAAAAGGACTCCTACAGTGTTGATGCAATCAAAGGTGACAGACCCAAGTACCGCCCCGACCTGCAATGAAGTCGTCTATCGACGAGCCATCTGGGCGACTTGGTCTATCTGTCTATTCTCTCTCCCCACCCTCACTCCACGGGAGCTACGCACCCACCCAGGGAAATGTAGAGTAGATGGCACATACTACCTGTCATTTCTGCACTGAGTTAAAAGTGCAGGATCCCTTTAAAACAGTGCAGCACCAGATACAATTTTAAAAAAAATGTCTAGAGCAACAGGCATTCAATGGGCAATGTGGTCAACATTGTACCATCCATTGTTACTTCCCTGGACACACACCCCCCCCCCCCCCCCCCCGTGTGGGTTCCAGGGGCCCCATTGTGAGGAAAACAAGAATAGACCCACTGCTTCCCCAAAAGCATGTCGTAAGAGTCGACTAATTGGGGAGCTTCCTTTGAAGTCGGAGTGCATCTGCCTGAGAGGCAAGGAACCAACAGTCTATATTCAAGAGAATGAGATCTGTAAAACTGATGCACACGCAACACTCAAGTTCTGGAGCAGGACTGCAGTTCAGTAATGGACGAGCAACCAGAACTTTCCGCCAGAGTGCACAGCTGGTGAACATGAAGAAGAAGAACAAGACTTCCCTGGACATTTTCTGCTACCCATTTTAGGCTGGGTGGGCCTGGAACCCAAAGCAAACAAAAACTAAAAATTCAGGCTGCTGTGTTGAAGATGGGTGTTTGAAAGGGCCAAATGTAAGACAGACCTGCGTGCCCAATTTGTGACCCTCTGAAAATAAAGTTTGTTTGTTCTTCCATGAGTGCCAATAAATTATTGATGAACATCTTGTTACTTTGGTGGCACTGGTAAAAGTAACGGACCCTTTTCCATACCTTCAAGTGTACTGGGCATATAGGGCTAGACCTATATTTTATAGACCAATCGGTACTCGGTGGGTGATGTGATCAACACCAAGCTTCCAAGGACTTTACAAGGCAGCCATTTAAGGCTGGGTCGACCTGGGAACTGACAGCACTGATGATTGCCCCAATATTACGTATAGAATAATGGTATGTCACCCAACTACACAAGACAACTTAGTTGCTTCTTGTCATCTTTAGATATTAAAAATTTACAAAGCGAAATATGCTGAAAAAGGCAGATTTAAAGTGTATCTAGCTGGGTAAGACAATTTCTCCTCCTTCTCTTCATTCACCCTGAAAAGTGTTGCTAGCGCCATACCTTGTGGTTAACAACTAGGCTGCAATATCTTGTATCTTTCGACCCAACACAACTGATTTCAGCAAATCATTAATTATTTAATCTTACATCATGCTTGTTGAAAGGAAGTGGGGTATTTTCCCCCCTCCCACAATAGGGCCCCAATACCCACATGGAGAAAAACTAGGCCATTTGACCAGAGCAAGAAAGAAGGAAAGAGGGATATCTGACTAACCCAGCTGGAAATACTTAATCAGCAAAGGCTTGGTAACATTTGAAAAAGTGTATTAATTGATTAAAAAACACTTAAGACATTATAAAACTTCATGCTGCAAGAAAGCACTGGTTCACGATGTTAACTTGCGCTGAGGGAAGCGGAGTTTGATTTTAGCTGAAATGGTTGCTCGACACAGCGGGCACAGGTGGAGCGTCTGGGCACAGGTGGCACAGCAGCAGACGTGGCCACAGGTGAGGAAGATAACACTCGACTGTCAGGGGATAAAAAATCATTATTATGCGTGTATCAAGGGTGACTAATATTTGCTTATGTTTAGGGTGTAGTTTTAATGTGTTTCATTGTCTGGGATATAGTTTTAATGTGTTTCATTGTCTGAAATATAGTTTTAATGTGTTTCATTATCTAAAATATAGTTTTAATGTGTTTCATTGTCTGGGATGTAGTTTTAATGTGTTTCATTGTCTGGGATGTAGTTTTAATGTGTTTCATTGGCCGGGATGTAGTTTTAATGTGTTTCATTGTCTGGGATATAGTTTTAATGTGTTTCATTGTCTGGGATGTAGTTTTAATGTGTTTCATTGTCTGGGATGTAGTTTTAATGTGTTTCATTGTCTGAAAAATATTTTTAATGTGTTTCATTGTCTGGAATATAGTTTTAATGTGTTTCATTGTCTGGGATATAGTTTTAATGTGTTTCATTGTCTGAAATATAGTTTTAATGTGTTTCATTGTCTGGGATGTAGTTTTCATGTGTTTCATTGTCTGAAATTTAGTTTTAATGTGTTTTATTGTCTGGGATGTAGTTTTAATGTGTTTCATTGTCTGGGATGTAGTTTTAATGTGTTTCATTGTCTGAAATATAGTTTTAGTGTGTTTCATTGTCTTGGATGTAGTTTTAATGTGTTTCATTGTCTGAAATATAGTTTTAATGTGTTTCATTGTCCCGGATGTAGTTTTAATGTGTTTCATTGTCTGGGATGTAGTTTTAATGTGTTTCATTGTCTGGGATTATAGTTTTAATGTGTTTCATTGTCTGGGATATAGTTTTAATGTGTTTCATTGTCTGGGATATAGTTTTAATGTGTTTCATTGTCTGAAATATAGTTTTAATGTGTTTCATTGTCTGAAATATAGTTTTAATGTGTTTCATTGTCTGAAATATAGTTTTAATGTGTTTCTTTGTCTGGGATGAAGTTTTAATGTGTTTCATTGTCTGGGATGTAGTTTTAATGTGTTTCATTGTCTGGAATGTAGTTTTAATGTATGTTGTTGATCTGTTTTCATTACACAATGAATATATAATGAAATCTACCATGGATATCCCAGGAATTGTAGTCGGTGGTCACAACATAAACAACCTGCATTATGCTGATGACACTGTCTCGATAGTGACAAGTCATAAAGAGCTACAGAGATTGACAGAAACGGTGGTGGCAGAAAGTGATAAAATGGGCCTCAATTTGAATAATGGGAAGGCATGGTGAATTCCAAGAAAAAAATAGTGCATAAATGCATAAGAGTCAAAGGCGTTTTTTTAGAACAAGTACAGAAATTTAAGTTTCTGGGCACATGGATAACATCCAATAGAAAATATATCACAGAGAAAAAGAAAAGGAAAGGCCAAAACTGCCTTTTATGAAACTAAAATTTTGAGCAATAAATCCAGGTCACTGAGGGTTAGGAAAAGAATGCTCGCATGCTATAGAGAGCCAGTTTTAACAAACAGCTGTGAATTCTGAACAGTTAATAAACAACCCAAACATAGGGTAGCGAAAGAAGAAGAAGAAGCCGAACAATGTGTAAAGCCTCGCAGATGTGATTTTACGAAAGAATCCTGTCTGTGTTGTTGTCTGGGATATAGTTACAATATGTGGTGTTGTCTGGGATGTAGTTTTAATGTGTGTTGACTGGGGTGAGTTTTAACATGTGATGTGGTCTGGGATGTAATTTTAACATGTGCCTTGTTCAGGGTATAATTTGTATGTTCTGTCATGCATACTTATTATCTAAAGCACTTCATTTAATTCTCCTTCTTCATTTCTGTGTTTACTCTTAAAAGGAATATCATTTTGTGGTTTACAGTTAGGCTGTGATATCTGCACCTTCTGGCCCAACACATCCGATTTCATGGAGGTGGTACTTTGGTACTGGGCCAGGAGAAAGCAACCAACCTCATTCCAATACATGCAAGCCAAATTCAGAGCTGAGGCAACCTGAATACTAATGACGGAAGAGTTCAAAGTCAATGTTACGGTTTTCAAAATCCACCTTGGGTCTTGAATCAACCAAGCCTAAAATGGCTACCAGGCAATATCTTGGGAAGTAAAGATGGTCGACATGATGCTGACTACATTACCGCCCGAGTGCCTATTGGTCCATAAAAACAAGATTCTTTACATCCCCTGCTTTTACTCAGTCCTTGAGAATATTCACAACAAACCTAACAACCCCTATTAAAATCGCATAAGACAATGTTCAGTTTGCATTCTTTTTTTTTGTTTTTGTTTTGTTAACGTATCCAGAAACCATGAGTTGTAAACCCTTTGGCTCGGTACTATGGATATCGCAACCCTTCGGCATTGATTCCATTATAGGTACCGTTAATCTGGGAGAAATGTGGCTTTTCTGCCTACCCCCGGGAGTGAACCCGGACCACAAGGAGTTCGTCACCCGGCCACCGCGAAAGTCAGGTTTAACCAACTTCGCTAGAGAGCCGGGCATCAGTTCGCATTCAAAAGGCAGCTGCAAGTTGTGCTGTGGTTTACAGCTTGGCTGTGATATGTGCTCCTTTTGGCCCAATGCATTCATTTTCAGCAAACTTCTAATTAGTGGCTTTTTACGACATGACTTTTGGGGAGGGGGAGGGAGGTGAATTCCTCCCCATGCCCCCTCAAGAGACTTCGGAATCCCCCCTGAAAATGAAATATTAAATAAACACCTAACAATCAAGGAATTTTGAATCGTTTCTTACATTCAAACCACTCCTCTACCTCTTTCACACAAAAAAAAACGTAAGTTGCACATCCTTTGCAGAACATCACAAACCAACCTGAGCATTTGTTGCCACTGCCAGCTAAATGGTCGATGAATCTAACCCAGTATGTCGGAATAATGAAACTAAGTTCATACCTTTACTTTTTCTGGTTTCAACAATCCCAAAACAGACATATCTACGTAGGTATAATTATTTCAACAGTTATTATTTGCAATAAAATTGTAACCTTCTTTTCATTAAAGTAACATAAAAAACAACAAAAAAACACATCCATACCTGCATATCCAAGCAGACTGCACATTCAGAGTTCATCCCCCTTGCTATCACCGAAGCCTGTCTCTCTAACAGTGCAGGCGGAAGTTCTGGAGTTCGAACCTGTTCCTCAGGAGGGGCTGTTGGAGTGGCCTGGTGTGATGGAATGACAAGTTCCTGTGAGGAGAGTAACACTTTATTCATTTATTTATATACAGTCGAGTCTGGATAAGTAGAAGTCGCAGAGACCTAAGAAAATGCTTCCACTTATCACGACTTCTACTTATCCAGACAGCACACACAATAGAGAATTTACACTAAAACTGAGCAGCAGCATTGAGGAAAACTATTTTACCCGTTAGGAAACACCATAATTAAACAAATAAATAGCAATACAATGTCAGAAATGTTGAAATATTTAATTATTTTAGAAGGTATAAAATTAAAACCATGTGAAAATTCAGACATTAATTGAAGAAAAAGTCTGTGATTCTGCTTTGCTCTTTGGACTGTGAAAAATATTATATAATAGCATTTTTTGAAACGATTGAACCATCTACATTTCCAGTCTGTCTAACCTCCAAGACGTGCAAATCCCTCTGCTTCTGCATAATTAATGGCCCATTCATGGGAACATTTGTCGATCTAAGCTCAGTGGACCATTTTAAAAAGTCAGTATCAACAAAATCACATGTTACTGTTCTAGCTTGCTGTCTCACTGTTGATTTTACACTAGAAAAAACATGTTCTGTAGCGTTCCTTGTGCTATAAAATGCCATAAAGCGTGGAACTCGGATTACCATATTCCCTGGCTCTATCCACTTTCTTCTTTGCACTATGTGCAATCTCTTCCAATAGTTCAATCTTTCTTTTTAAAGTTAAAGTAGTCAGCTTTCCACCATCAGCCAGCATTGTTAATACTGAATGTAGCGAGATTTCGTAGCCGCAAGATTTCATGTGTTTTTTTCCCCGCGTTGACTAAAGAAAATTTTTTAAACAAAATAAATTTATATTTCATAGTGACAATGAACAGTTCGACTTAAACAGGGACATGTATATAGTCGGAATTTATTTTCAGATTTGACTTATCCAATTTTAAGTTAACCAAATTTGATTTATCAGGAATTTAAATACTAAGATAAAGAAGGAAAATTGACGGCACTAAGCTGATCATGTCAATTTAAGCAAAATTCTACTTATCCGAGTTCGACTTAGTGGACTCGACTGTGTGTGTGTATGTGTGCGTGCGCACGCGCGCGCACACACATACACTTACATACATACACATGAGCACGTTTTTTAAGTAAGCTTCGTTTTGACTGCAGCAACAAACACAAATGGTAAACACATGTTCATATGCAGTATGTTTATGTGGTTCATTAGCTAGCTATGTGCTCATTTTTCACTGTCACAGTTTTTTTTAATGCTGCGTGTGAGTGATTTATAATAGGTGCAAAAATAAATACTCCCGCCAGCTGTGAGGTTTATGCTGTGATCTGTTTTTGTTAGCAAAAAACAACAGCGCTGCAGAAATTCACAAACAACTTTTTGAGGTTTATGGGCCTGAATTTATGACTGATAGTATGGTTAGGAAATGGTGTCAAATGTTTAAAGAAGGGTGAACAAATATCCATGATGAAGATGGTATCGGTCGGCCGAGTGTGGTGACAAACAATCTGGTTGAGGAGGTGAGCCAAAAAATTTAGGAAAATCGACATTTCACAATTTCTGCGTTGTCTGTCGAATTTTTGAAAGTTTTACATTTACTGATTTATGATGCTATGACAAAAAACCTTGGATTAAAAAAAAATTGTGTACCATGCAAACCAAAATCTGTGGGCTGCTGCACTCGCAGATGGAACCGTTCAATTGTTGCAAAAATTTCACTGGGAAATTGTTGACCACCCGCACTACAACCCTGATCTGGCGCCAAGTGATTACCACCTTTTCATGCACCTAAAGACGTGGCTGGTATCCCAGTTTGAAACTGATGATAAACTGCAGACAGGTGTTAATGAAGGGACAAGACACTGGAGGCAGACTTCTATTACATTGGGATTAAGAACCTGGTGCCATGATACCAACAATGTGTTGAGGTCAATGGTGATTATGTGGAGAAATAATGTTAATGTGCAGTTCACTTCTGGCTGCTATAAATCATTTTAATATTTGATTTTTCTTTTTTTATATATTTTATACCAGGATTTACTTAAACAACGTGCCTCGTACATACGTACGTACATACATACATACAAGGTTTGCTGAAAACAGATGTGCTGGGCCAAAAGGGGTGAATACTGCAGCCTTGCTGTCAACTACGTCATGTGCCATCAATGCTTTTCATGGCGACCGCAGAAGAAATTATGCTATGTAAAGAACTTTGGTTGTTCCAATGCTACACAAGAAACATTCCTTACTACACAAGAAACAGTGATACAGAAAACTGTGGGACGGCTCCAACATACAGAAAAACGGCAGCTACACATACTAAATATCTGTAATTACAGTTGCAATCTTACACTGACCCCTTTCTTGTCTCGAATCTTTTCCCTGGGAGACCTGGTTTTCAACTGCTGATGGTCAAGAAGTCGGAGAATTGACCTCCTCAAGCCCATTTCATGCACGCCCATCTGCCGGAGGTCAGGATCAGTCAAGCTCTGCAGTATTTTCATAGTGATGCGGTGCCGAGCAAAGATAGGAATATAATCTTCTGCTCCAGCGGAGATGAGGATATCCTTGACTGCTGGCTCCAGCTGATTCTCCTGGGGAAACAAGAGGATCACATTAAACACCAGCCGGCATCAGTGAAACTGTGTCATATCTTAAACTGTGATTTTTTTTTTCCTAATGTGGGTTCAGGGCCCCAGTTTGGTGGGGATTGGGATGTGAAGAGAATAGATCACTGCCTCCTAACTCCCCGTGTGGGTTCCGGAGCCTCAGTGTGAGGGAAAAAGAAGATTAGATCCACTGCCCCCCTTACTCCTTGTGTGTTTTCCGGGACCTCAGTGTGAGGGGAAAAGAGATTAGATCCACTGCCCGCCACCAATAAGCTTGTTTTAAAAGGTGACTAGTTAGAGGTGGTTTTTTTTTTTCAGAGTGCATCTGCCAGAAAGGCAAGGAACCAAAAATCTGCTCACAAAAAAAGCCAGATCGGTAAAATGGACATGCATGCAAAACTCAAGTTCTGGAAAAATACTGATGTTCAGAAGTAGATGAACAACCAGTTTACAGATGATGATAGTGAGCGAACATACTGCCTCCCTTAACAAGCATGTCATAAAAGTCGACTAATCAGAGACTGGTTGAAATCAGACACGTTAAACTGAAGAGCGCATAAATCACAGCCTGGCCACAAACCATCATACAATCACAGCCTGGCTGCAAACCATCATACAATCACAGCCTGGTGGCAAACCATCATACAATCACAGCCTAGCCATAAACCATACAATCACAGCCTAGCCATAAACCATTCAATCACAGCCTAGCCATAAACCATCATACAATCACAGCCTAGCCATAAACCATACAATCACAGCCTAGCCATAAACCATCACACAATCACAGCCTAGCCATAAACCATAGAATCACAGCCTAGCCATAAACCATACAATCACAGCCTAGCCATAAACCATCATACAATCACAGCCTAGCCATAAACCATACAATCACAGCCTAGCCATAAACCATTCAATCACAGCCTAGCCATAAACCATCATACAATCACAGCCTAGCCATAAACCATACAATCACAGCCTAGCCATAAACCATCACACAATCACAGCCTAGCCATAAACCATAGAATCACAGCCTAGCCATAAACCATTAATCACAGCCTAGCCATAAACCATCATACAATCACAGCCTAGCCATAAACCATCACACAATCACAGCCTAGCCATAAACCATACAATCACAGCCTAGCCATTAACCATAACACAATCACAGCCTAGCCATAAACCATCACACAATCACAGCCTAGCCATAAACCATACAATCACAGCCTAGCCATAAACCATACAATCACAGCCTAGCCATAAACCATCATACAATCACAGCCTAGCTGCAAACCGTCATACAATTACAACCTAGCCATAAACCATCATACAATCACAGCCTAGCTGCAAACCGTCACACAATTACAACCTAGCCATAAACCATCATACAATCACAGCCTAGCCATAAACCATAACACAATCACAGCCTAGCCAAATACCATCACACAATAACAGCCTAGCCATAAACAATCACACAATCATTTGAGGGCTTGATGGGGGAGTCTTGTCTTATCCATTCTGAGCGCATGGTCGATGCAGTTCCAGCAGCACTTTCTTATAAAACTGGAACCATTGTCTTGCTTGGTCTCTAACAAGTATGAGAATTCAAATATCTAGGAAGCATATTTACAGAGGATAACAGACTTGACAGAGAGATAGAAGCCAGAGTATAGAAGGCAAATGCTGTCACCTACCAGTTAGCCCCAACTGCTTAGACACCCAAATGTCTCCCTTTCAACAAAACAGCAAATTATTAACAGCATCTTTATATCTACTTTATGTTATCAGTGCCAAACGTGGACAACGAAAAAGGCACTAGAACAGAAAATAGCTACATGTGAAATGCGCTGTCTCCACAAGGTGACTGACAACACTAGATGAGACAGGTTTTGAATACCAGCATTACAGAGAAGGTTGGAATAAAATATGTTTGGATTATACTGACAGGCAAAGAATGAAATGGTTCGGCCATCTTGTGAGCATGCAGATAGACCAGACTGCTTATGAGACTTTTTACAGTAGAACATCTGGGAGGAAGGCAAGAGGAAGACCAAGAAAGACATAGATAAATGATGTAGCTGAAACCTGCAAAAAGATGATCAAATCCATCACTCAAACCACCCAAGAAGCACAAGACAAATACAGAAAACCACAACACTGGGCTACCATCTGTTATCAGTGAGATAACACAAGAAGAAGAAGACGAAGGTCTCTTGTCTTGTTGAATAGTAATTAGTTTTGTTTAAGCTACTTGCACTGAACATATAGTCATAATCTCATACCAGCTTGTACCATTGTGTCACCTGTCGCTGTTTACCATCTGACAGTTATCTCCCTCCACCTCTAGATACAAAGAACAAAGAACTTGAAGCCTGAGGCTTCTCCAGTCAGCCAGATTCTGCACTCAGGTCTTTCTTGGTCAGCCAAGCCCTTCTTGGAGAGGCCAGTAAATTAAGGTTACCCACGGGACATATGGCTTCTGAGAACAGTGCCAAGAATATCACAGACTGGCACAATGTCCATGATTCACTTCCACACCTGAAGATTGGCTAACCAACCATTCATTGACATTACCTGAGAAGGACAAAACACAGACTCACTCTGTCAATCAGTGACTGGGGTTTGCGGTCAAGGAAACGCTGGTACTGAACCAACCAGTAATCTTGCTGTCCTTCCTCTCTCTGAAGCTCCATCTCCAACTGAAAGAGGTGAGGTAAAGTAAAGAGGTGAGGTGAAGTAAAGAGGTGAGGTGAAGTAAAGAGGTGATGTGAAGTAAAGAGGTGAGGTAAAGTAAAGAGGTGAGGTAAAGTAAAGAGGTGAGGTAAAGTAAAGAGGTGAGGTAAAGTAAAGAGGTGAGGTGAAAGAAAATAAAGGACCATTTTCAATACCTTCAAGTGTACAGTAGAACCCCGCTTAACGAGCACCTCTCATAACGAGCAATTCGCATAATAAGCAAAACAAATTGTAAAAGAATGACTCGCTTAACGAGCGACGTTTCGCATAATGAGTGGCGAGGAGAGGGGAAGTCCCGGATTGTGCTCATGTTACATCAGTCTGTGTTTAGCACTCGTTCCAGTAGCATCGTAGTGTCACTTGTGATCACACATTTTCTCAAACTTGGGTTATATTGTGATACATGTACATGAATCCTCCAGGCCCACAAGATGACCTCTCTGAAGAATTTAAGTTCATCAAGATCCAGTTTTTGCCTCCCAACACCACTCCGTTACTCCAGCCCATGGACCAGCAAGTTATTTCTAACTTTAAGAAGCTCTACACTAAAGCACTCTTCAAGCATTGTTTTCAGGTGACTGAAGAGACCAACCTCACTCTCAAAGAGTTTTGGAAAAATCCCTTCCACATCGTTGCCTGCCTCAAGATGATCAACAAGGCGGGGGAAGGGGTTACCAAGAGAACCCTAACTTCTGCTTGGAAGTAGCTTTGGCCGGAGAGTGTTGTCGATTTATAAATTTGAGGGGTTCGAGACGGTACCTGTGGAACCTGTAGTCAACAAGATTGTGTCTTTGGCCACTATCATGGGATTGGAGGTGGATAACAGTTATATCGAAGAGCTTGTGGAAGAGCACAGCCAAGAGCTGACCACCCAAGAGCTTATGGAGTTGCCTTGTGTTTTACAGCAAGAAGTTTTGGGGGAAAATTTGTCAGAGGAGGAGGAGGAGGTAACAGAAAAGCAACAATCTTCTGGCGAAATAAGAGAAATGCTGAAAGCATGGCACACTGATGCATCTTACATTGAGAAGCATAACCCTAATAAGGAAGCTGCTACGCGCATTGCAAACTTATTTAATGATAATGCTGTGTAGCATTTTCGCCAAATTTTGAAGCGTCGGCAAAAACAAATGTCTCTGAACATCTTTCTAGTAAAAAAAAAAAAAAAAAAAAAAATTTTCTATCTATCATAATTATTTCGACTTTTTTTTTCTGCAAATCGAATTCGCGTTCCAGAATTGCTCCTTAACAATATGTATATAATTTTCTTTGAATGAACTTTACACATAGCATTTTGTGAGCATTTTTTTCGACATGGAACACATTATCGTATTTTACATTAATTTGTATGAGAAAATCTTTTTCGCATAATGAGTGTTTCGCTTAACGAGTATTATTCTGGAACAAATTATGCTCGTTAAGCGAGGTTCCACTGTATTTGGGTTAAAGTGATGGACCAGTATTTGTCAGACCGATCAACACTCTGTGAATGATGTGGTCAACATCACGCCCGCTGCCATGACTTCCCAGGACTTTGCTCGTACCCATTTGAGGCTGGGTCAACCTGGGAGAGAAGGCCATTTTAGGGAAAAACTGAAAGAGGGAATAGCTGACAATAATAATGGCATCCCATTTAAGCATTTATAACATTTTGATCAGTTCTTCCTCTTCTTCTTTCATTAGCTTGAACTAGATTATCTATATCTGCAGTGTTGTTTCTAGTATTAACTTCACTGTCTGTTGTAATTCACTCAGCAAACCGTAAAGTTGTTTTGCACCGGTGTTTCTCTTGGCCAAAAGTTTTACCTTGATATCTTGAATTTGGGACAGTCTTGGAGGACATGATCTAACACATTAAGTTATTTTGAAATTGCTCTTTTACTTAACTGTATGGACTCTGGGCCCCATTCTGGGAGGAAAAAGGAATAGACCCATTCCCCCCCCCTCCCCCCCCCCCACAAACTCATCTTCCAAAAAGGCAACTAAATGGGGGTGTGCTGTGCACTAGATGTGCTGAGCCTGTGTTCAGCCTAGCTCTAAACCAGATGTGCTGAGCCTGTGTTCAGCCTGGCTCTAAACCAGATGTGCTGAGCCTGTGTTCAGCCTGGCTCTAAACCAGATGTGCTGAGCCTGTGTTCAGCCTGGCTCTAAACCAGATGTGCTGAGCCTGTGTTCAGCCTGGCCGTAAACCAGATGTGCTGAGCCTGTGTTCAGCCTAGCTCTAAACCAGATGTGCTGAGCCTGTGTTCAGCCTGGCCGTAAACCAGATGTGCTGAGCCTGTGTTCAGCCTGGCCGTAAACCAGATGTGCTGAGCCTGTGTTCAGCCTGGCCGTAAACCAGATGTGCTGAGCCTGTGTTCAGCCTGGCCGTAAACCAGATGTGCTGAGCCAGTGTTCAGCCTGGCCGTAAACCAGATGTGCTGAGCCTGTGTTCAGCCTGGCCGTAAACCAGATGTGCTGAGCCTGTGTTCAGCCTGGCCGTAAACCAGATGTGCTGAGCCTGTGTTCCGCCTAGCCGTAAACCAGATGTGCTGAGCCTGTGTTCAGCCTAGCTCTAAACCAGATGTGCTGAGCCTGTGTTCCGCCTAGCCGTAAACCAGATGTGCTGAGCCTGTGTTCAGCCTAGCCGAAAACCAGATGTACTGAGCCTGTGTTCAGCCTGGCTCTAAACCAGATGTGCTGAGCCTGTGTTCAGCCTAGCTCTAAACCAGATGTGCTGAGCCTGTGTTCAGCCTAGCCGTAAACCAGATGTGCTGAGCCTGTGTTCAGCCTGGCCGTAAACCAGATGTGCTGAGCCTGTGTTCAGCCTAGCTCTAAACCAGATGTGCTGAGCCTGTGTTCAGCCTAACTCTAAACCAGATGTGCTGAGCCTGTGTTCAGCCTAACTCTAAACCAGATGTGCTGAGCCAGTGTTCAGCCTGGCCGTAAACCAGATGTGCTGAGTCTGTGTTCAGCCTGGCCATAAACCAGATGTGCTGAGCCTGTGTTCAGCCTAGCTCTAAACCAGATGTGCTGAGCCTGTGTTCAGCCTAGCCGTAAACCAGATGTGCTGAGCCTGTGTTCAGCCTGGCCGTAAACCAGATGTGCTGAGCCTGTGTTCAGCCTAGCTCTAAACCAGATGTGCTGAGCCTGTGTTCAGCCTAGCTCTAAACCAGATGTGCTGAGCCTGTGTTCAGCCTAGCCGTAAACCAGATGTGCTGAGCCTGTGTTCAGCCTGGCCGTAAACCAGATGTGCTGAGCCTGTGTTCAGCCTGGCTCTAAACCAGATGTGCTGAGCCTGTGTTCAGCCTAGCTCTAAACCAGATGTGCTGAGCCTGTGTTCAGCCTGGCTCTAAACCAGATGTGCTGAGCCTGTGTTCAGCCTAGCTCTAAACCAGATGTGCTGAGCCTGTGTTCAGCCTAGCTCTAAACCAGATGTGCTGAGCCTGTGTTCAGCCTGGCTCTAAACCAGATGTGCTGAGCCTGTGTTCAGCCTGGCCGTAAACCAGATGTGCTGAGCCTGTGTTCAGCCTGGCCGTAAACCAGATGTGCTGAGCCTGTGTTCAGCCTAGCTCTAAACCAGATGTGCTGAGCCTGTGTTCAGCCTGGCTCTAAACCAGATGTGCTGAGCCTGTGTTCAGCCTGGCTCTAAACCAGATGTGCTGAGCCTGTGTTCGGCCTGGCCGTAAACCACACTACAAAGGCAATGTGTCAGCCACTCTTTTAAGAGCAAAAAAGGAGCAGCTCTACTGTAGAAGATGTCAAGAGTTCAAGTCAAGCGCACAGATTCAAACCCACCTATACTGGACCATAGGTTACTTTGTAACCATTTTGGGTTGCCCCAATATTACGCGTGGCAGAGATGTGGTTTCTGAGATGAATGTTACAAATACCTTGGATGGCCAGAGTAACTAACAAAGATTGCTTGAAAGAAGCTAATAAAAGTAGATCTCTATATACAACAATAAAAAAGAGACAAACACTGTTCTTTGGCCACATAATGAGAAGAGAGACATTGGAGAACATCGTGACAACTGGAAAGATCAGTGGAAAAGGGGGTAGAGGCAGACCAAGAGAGATGATGCTGGATGGGCTGAAATGATGGCATGGGGGGATATCATCAAGAGAGCTGTTCCAGGCAACCAGGGATCATGATCTGTGGAGACGCATGAGCGCCTATGCCAGTTGGCAGGGCACATGATGATGATGAGAGATGTGCTTTCTGAGAATAATGCAAAGAATATCATGATAGAAAAACAAATGAAGCTGTCCTCATCAAGACAGATGAAAGTCATAACCTTATTCGTACAATTAGACGTTCAGTCAATATTTTTTGGACATGTCATGAGAAGTCATAAACTCGAGAATTTGATGGTAAACTGGCAAGACTGGTGAGCAAGAGGAGGGCAAAGAGATAAAAGCCAGAATAGCCTGGCCAGATGGATGGGGCGAGATTTAAAAAAAAAACATTCAACTGATCCGTTATTTTGGTGATCGTGTGAAATGGTGAAACACGATAGCTTTTACTTACCGGCATGGCACATGATGATGATGATACTTGCTATATAGTTAAAATGGAATTTCACGGATTTGTAACTGTTTAATTTTCATCCCTGAGATCAGGGTCCCGGGAATTCGGTTTTCTTCTTCTCAAGTCTTTTTCTAAATCTGAAGCCCAGTAGTGTAGTGGCTTGATGCTTGCTGCAAGCCCAAAGGTCTTGGGTTCAAATCTGCATGGATTTTTGTCTTTCTCCAAAAGTGACCTTTGCTCCCAGGTCAACCCAGTCTAAATTAGGTACCAAGTAGTGCCTATTTCTTCCTGGGAAGTAAAGGCAGCCACACTGAAGTTAACCATATGACCAATCGAGTGCTGTTCCATGAGTACAAAAATATAGATTTAGCACTAAATGCCCGATGTGCCTAAGGCATAAAAAAGGAACCTTTACTTGGTCAACATATAACACAAAGGACAATTCAGGTTTACCAGTAGCTTTTTCAATTCTATCTGCCGCCTGTCCTTCTCCTCCAGTAGCTGGGACAGCATGGCTGAGAGGGCCACTCTCTGCTCTTCCATCACATTCTGTGTGAACAGTGAAGGTTTGTTCATTTCAAGTGAAGGTTTGTTAATTTCAAGTGAAGGTTTGTTAATTTCATATGAAGGTTTGTTCAATTTCAAGTGAAGGTTTGTTAATTTCAAGTGAAGGTTTGTTAATATCAACCAAATGGTCCATCCAAACAGCCCCAGACACAACAGTGAATACAATTAAATTGTTATTTCAACCAAATGGTCCATCCAAACAGCCCCAGACACAACAGTGAATACAATCAAATTGTTATTTCAACCAAATGGTCCATCCAAACAGCCCCAGACACAACAGTGGATACAATCAAATTGTTATTTCAACCAAATGGTCCATCCAAACAGCCCCAGACACAACAGTGGATACAATCAAATTGTTATTTCAACCAAATGGTCCATCCAAACAGCCCTAAATACAACAGTGAATACAATCAAATTGTTATTTCAACCAAATGGTCCATCCCAACAGCCAGACACAACACTGAATGCATTCTAAATGATCAGATTAGTCAATAATGAGACTGGATCAAAACTATGAAGAAGAATGAATCACAACATTCAATAACATGAAAGGTCACAACATTAACTCAGCAATCAATGGTACTCCTATTGACTGCACAACCAACTTCCATATACTGCATACAAATATTTACGAATGATCCCAATAGTTTTGTTTTTTTTCACGGCCAGAAAATTAACAATAATTTTCTGTTTGTAACGCATGCTGTCCCTGCCCAATATTTAAAAAAAATTAATACAGCTGTTCTTTTTGGTGAATGAGTTGCCATTTCATATATATATATATATAATAAACTCCTTTCCACTTTGAAGCCTGCACAATTTCAGGTTTCTACCTTTATTATTTGCTGAACGTGGGTCACCTTTTTCTGAATGCTGCGTATGAGATTTCACAAACAGAATCAGTTTAAAAAAGAAACAAAAACACTACTGGACAAAGCAGCAGCAGACAACTAAGATAAACCTCAAAGACAGAAAACAAACACTGCTGGACAAAGTAGCAGCAGACAACTAAGATAAACCTCAATGACACACACACACAAAAAACACTACTGGACAAAGCAGCAGCAGACAACTAAGATAAACCTCAATGACAGAAAACAAACACTACATGACAAAGTAGCAGCAGACAACTAAGATAAACCTCAATGACACACACACACAAAAAACACTACTGGACAAAGCAGCAGCAGACAACTAAGATAAACCTCAATGACAGAAAACAAACACTACATGACAAAGTAGCAGCAGACAACTAAGATAAACGTCAATGACAGAAAACAATCACTGCTGGACAAAGCAGCAGCAGACAACTAAGATAAACCTCAATGACAGAAAACAAACACTACTGGACAAAGTAGCAGCAGACAACTAAGAAAAACCTCAATGACAAAAAAACAAACACTACTGGACAAAGTAGCAGCAGACAACTAAGAAAAACCTCAATGACAAAAAAACAAACACTACTGGACAAAGTAGCAGCAGACAACTAAGATAAACCTCAATGACAGAAAACAATCACTGCTGGACAAAGCAGCAGCAGACAACTAAGATAAACCTCAATGACAGAAAACAAACACTACTGGACAAAGCAGCAGCAGACAACTAAGATGAACCTCAGTGACAGAAAACAATCACTACTGGACAAAGTAGCAGCAGACAACTAAGATAAACCTCAATGACAAAAAAAAAAAAAAAAAAAAAACACTACTGGACAAAGCAACAGCAGACAACTAAGATAAACCTCAAAGACAGAAAACAATCACTACTGGACAAAGTAGCAGCAGACAACTAAGATAAACGTCAATGACAAAAAAACAAACACTACTGGACAAAGTAGCAGCAGACAACTAAGATAAACCTCAAAGACAGAAAACAATCACTGCTGGACAAAGTAGCAGCAGACAACTAAGATAAACCTCAAAGACAGAAAACAAACACTACTGGACAAAGCAGCAGCAGACAACTAAGATGAACTTCAGTGACAGAAAACAAACACTGCTGGACAAAGCAGCAGCAGACAACTAAGATGAACCTCAGTGACAGAAAACAATCACTGCTGGACAAAGTAGCAGCAGACAACTAAGATAAACCTCAATGACAAAAAAAAAAAAAAAAAACACTACTGGACAAAGCAACAGCAGACAACTAAAATAAACCTCAAAGACAGAAAACAATCACTGCTGGACAAAGCAGCAGCAGACAACTAAGATAAACCTTAAAGACAGAAAACAATCACTGCTGGACAAAGCAGCAGCAGACAACTAAGATAAACCTCAAAGACAAAAACAGAAACTCACAAACTCATGAGCCACTCGTTTGTCTCTCTGGTACCGCTCCATGGCTGTGATTTGTGCTAGCTCAGATTCTATCAGGGAGATCTGTGAGAGAATCCGTGAATGAGCCGAGTCCTGGGAGTACAGCAGAGCTTCAAATGCTGCCTTCTGCAAAGCCTCCTTAGAAAGCCAGGAGAAAAAAAAAGTATTTTAATTACAACAACAATCTAGTGAGAATGCAGCCAGACTAAACTGTATATGAGACTTTTTACAGCAGAATATCTGACAGGAAGGTGAGAGGAAGACCAAGAAAGAGATGGATAAATGATGTAGCAGAAACCTGCAAAAAAGACTAACAAATCCATCACCTAAGTTGCCCGTGTGTCACCGGGGCCTTCACGGGAAGAAAAGAATAGTGACACTGCACCCTACCAGAATTGTCTTGAGAGGTGACTAAGGGTAGGGCTTGAGGTTGGCTACCTCATTTGTAAAAACAATAGCCACAAAAACCAACCAACCATGGCATGAGTTGGTTGAGGCCCTATACTCCATTGGAGGACTAGAAAGGCAGAAGAAGAAGAAAAAGTGACTGAAGAAATACAAGACAAATACCGAAAACCATGACACTGAGCTACAACCTGGTATCAGTGAGATGACAAAAGAAAGAAGAAAAAGAATCACAAAAACTTTTAATATCCTGAAATTAAAGAATTTTTAAAATTATTATCATACGTTTCTCACATAACAATGCACACGGGCATCCGATCTCACTAACCAGAGACCAGGGGGAATTACTAAAAGTCCAAGTCCATGTGAGAAATCTCTGCCCTTACCGGGGACTGAACCTGGAACCTCCAGCACTTGAGGCGGACAGCATGCCTCGAGACCCCCCCCCCCCCCAAGGCTCTTTGGGAATGAGTGAACTGTGTTGAAACACAAATAGCTCATCAAGGCCTGAAGAGAAGAAAATGGTGTACTGGGGAGTGACCAGGGGGATCTGGCTGAAACTCTACACCCAGAGGAAAGACAAGACGAACAAGCAATCAGACTGCTACAAGTACTATCAGAATCAGAACCCTGCACTGGCTGCTGCAGATGAGGATGGAACATTTATGGGAAATTCCTGAGTGCTGTGATGTCAATTCAAAACTCTCTGGGTACCAGAAGATTTCACAGGAGACGCCAAGGCCAAGGAATTACCATGATAAAAAAATCATTAATTGCTTACTTTCAAATTGGCAATATAAACAATGGTATTTACCGGGGGGACACCAGATTTCTTTAGTATCTTCTGACTAAATGTTGTAAGTAAGAGAACACAGTAAGCTTTGAAGAGAATTCAAGGGGTATAGTCAACCACGCACAAGGAGTTGCTTAGGTTTGAAAGAGTTAGCTCCACTTATTATCATAATTTGCCAGCGATAAGTAAACCGTCCAGAATTTAGGTAAGTCAAGTAATAGTTAAACTAGCTAACAGGAGGGCCATGAGACATGCAGACCGGACTGACCTCTTTACCCAGTTTTTCGATCATCTTCTTGTGTTCCAGATGCTTATAGTTGATCAGACTTTCAATCTGTCCCAAATCCAGATTTTCTCTGGGATAAACAACAAATATTTAGATGAGCATATTATGTATAGTTTACCAACAAACTCAAAGCATATGGTATTTACAGAAAAGGTTTACCAATAGCAGTTCCGATCTATGTCTTAAGTACAGTTACAAGAAATAATTTAACTTTAACAACATTAGTTCTCATCTACGTGTTAAGTATGGCTATAAGATATAAGTAAAACAATATAGGTTTAAAGTCAGTAGTTCTCATCTATATGTTAAGTTCAGGGTAAAAGAAACAATATAGCTTTAGTAACAGTATCAACAGAAGTACAGGATATAAGTAAACCACAATTCTCATCAACAGAAGTACAGGATATAAGTAAACCAATATGAGTTTAACAACATTAGTTCTCTTTAGGGTACAAGTTTAACAATATAGCTTTTAGCAACAGTAGTTCTCATCAACATAAGTACAGGATATAAGTAAACCATAGTTCTCATCAACAGAAGTACAGGATATAAGTAAACCATAGTTCTCATCAACAGAAGTACAGGATATCAGTAAACCATAGTTCTCATCAACAGAAGTACAGGATATCAGTAAACCAATATCAGTTTTCTTCTTCTTCTTGTTCACCGGCTGTGAATTCCGGCGGTAAGTCGCGGTTGTTCGTCCAAAATGGACTTTTGGCTTTTACCTTGACCTGAGTTTTGCGTGTACATCCGTTTTACTGGCTTATTTGTTCGCAGATATCAGTTTAACAACAGTAGTTTTCATCTATGTGATAAGTTCAAGATATAAGTTTCTTGTCCAGACCCACACAAAAAACTTGCTCATTAACAAATGCCAAAGTGCATGTCATCTTACTCCTAATGCTGAAAGCCGGTGGTGTACACCAGCGATTCTCAAACTTGTATCGCCCCCACCACCCTTCTTGGGCTAAATCATTTCGCGGCACAGCTATCCTGATAGCGGTTTTAATGCTTAGGAAGAAAAAACAAAACAGTGCAAATTTAAAGTTCAGTTGTCTTTAATGCGATGGCACGAATGTATTATTGCCCAGGCACCCCGGCAAACACTCCCGGCACCCAGTTTAAGAACCGCTGATGTACACTATCTCATGTGCATTTGCGCACACAAACATACACATATACATATATGAATAGTACAGTGACATGAAAACAAGGTCTCTCATGCTAGCAATTACTGTCAAATGCCATATAACTGCTCAAAAAGTGTTCATCTACTGACTGAGCATTTTACACCTCTCCTCCCTCATAAGCACACATGTAAGTAAAACATTTACAGCAGATGTTCCTCTCATGCCTGCATCCTCACTTTAATGTTGACTGGATGTTTTCAAAGACCTCATTTACCATCACACTGTGAAAGCTTCCTTGAGTGCTTTTGTCTTCTTTTTTAAGAGCACAGAAGTCCTCGTGTAGAATAGAACCCCTGCCCTCTAAAAAGAAAATTATGAAAATCAGTTGTATATGTATATCATTTTGCTGAAACTGGATGTGGTAGGCTGAAAGGCACAGATATCGCAGCCTAGCTGAACCACAACACAACCACCTTTAAAAGAGAAAATGCAGAAGAAGGTCAAGCAAAGAGTCTTGTAGGTCAGTGCAAGAACTACCAGTAAGGATTCTGTCTGTCTCTCTTTCGCCCACCCAATGCTTCTAATAAAGTTAACAAGATAGAATAAGACAGCAACACATCAACAACAGGGACACATCAACGACAGGGACACATCAATAACGGTGACACATCAACAACGGTGACACATCAACAACGGTGACACATCAACGAAAGCAACACATCAACAACGGTGACACATCAACAACAGTGACACATCAACAATGGTGACACATCAAGGACAGCGACACATCAACGACAGTGACACATCAACGACAGTGACACATCAACAGACTGACTGTTCTAAGGTGTCCCTCCTCATCTCATCCTTGTCCTGCTCCATATCCAGCCTGATAGTTTCCATGGAATCAAAGTCAGTCAGCAGCATCTTCATATTGTCTGCAAGAAACATGCAGTCTAGACAACAGGGCATGTTCCAGTGGTAATAAAAAACACTCACAGTTAAAGATGAAAATAAAAGACATTGATGCTTAAGCCATGGTGGTGTAGTGGTTTACCGAAAAGGTGGTACAAGTTCAGAATTCTCTGGCAGGTACTGCTTTTCCCAGCTAATAAGACCTATCCCAAATATGAGCCTTCCCTATGTGGGTTCCGGGGTCCCATAGTGGGGAAAACAAGTACAGACCTACTGCCTACAAAACCAAAAAAAAAAGAATGTCATAAAGGTCGACTAACTGGGAGCTTCCTTCGAAGTCGGAGTGCATCAGCGGCAATGAGAAAACCAACTGCACACAAATAAGCCAGTAAAATGGATGTACACACAAAATTCAGGCCCTGGCAGAAAGCCAAAGTCCAAAGGGATGAATGATCAGGACTTTCCACTGGAGCTCGCAACCAGTGAACAAAGAAGAAAAATATAAGCGCTAGTAGGATTTGTCAGGATGTTTGTAACACAACACAGCATTTATAAACTCATACATCTGTTACGTAGAGCTAAAGCAGAGCCTGTGTTGTTATACGTATGTGAGACACACAACAAGCAGAAAAGCTGAAAAACATTTACTCAGCCAGAGATTCTCATGAAAATTCACAGATGGGGATCTCAAGCTTTAATCAGTCTGTCCTTCTCTCTTAATGAGTTGAAGTATGTGTACATTATGTCTTGATATCCACAACTATAGATGTCAACATCCAGCACACACACACAAAAATACATCACATAAAGACGCTCACCCAAGATTTCCTGCTTACGAAGGTTCTCCAACTCTTCCCATCTCACAGTGAACCAATTCTCCTCCTTCATTCTGAAAATACATCAATGACAGCACTGTAGTAGACGGTGCAAGACAAGGGACTAATATAGAGTTGTTGTTTTTTTTAAGCATCAACTGTGGATCCGAAAGTCTTGAGTCCAGGTCCTGACGGAGCATGACTTTAAAAAAACCTTTTTTTTTCAGGTCGACGCAGCCTTAAAGATACCAGATAAAATCCTGGGAAGTAAAGGTGCCCGGCATGATGTTGACAACATCACCCACTGAGTGCAAATTTGGCCTATAAATTATATAGCCTAAAGGTGTGGCAAAGGATCCTTTACTTTTATAATGATCTTTAGCAGTCAAAAAGAAAGGGGAAATGTTCAGATTTCATCCCGTCATTTGTCTCCCTTGTCAACTTCTGCAGAATCAGACAAAGAGGATGCAAGTAGGCCAGAACTGCAAGATTTGGTGAACCAGTTTAAACAGACAATCAACATCCTTTGACTTCTGTGGGAGAGACTGAGCATTTTTCCTTAGCGCCACGATAAGATTCTTTATTACACATTTTTAACAACATGACCAAACGGCATCTCAACACATCAGTACAAAGGAGGATAGTAAAGGTATTAAATTACTTGTGTTCTGAGGCCCAATTTTAAGGAGAAAAGAATAAAACACTGCCTCTAAACAAGCAGGTTGTAAAAAATGATTAATTAAGGGTTTACGGAGAAAGGACTGCTGGGCCGAAAGATGCATATATCACAGCTTAAGTGTAAACCACAACACACTGTACAAATCCATTTTAAGGGCAAATACAAAAGAAGAAGATGAAGAAGAAGAAGAAGAACAAGTTGGAACCGGAATAATGCTCAAGACCAGAAGGAAGATTTTGTGAATGGCTAATGTACAGGTCCAGCTTCTCATGAAGTCTCTAAAAGACTACTTGGCTGGCTGATGAGCCCTGTGAAAGACTGAGCTTTAACAAGATATATAATTTATGGTAAGACATGAGAAGAGATTACATGAGAAGACAAGACATAAGAAGACAAGCCTATGAAAGACAAGACATGAAAAGATAAAAGATGACAAGACATGAGAAGACAAGACATGATAAGACAAGACATAAGAAGACAAGACATTACAAGACATTAGAAGACAAGACATAAGAAGATAAGACATAAGAAGACAAGACATTACAAGACACTAGAAGACAAGACATAAGAAGACAAGACAGGAGAAGACAAGATGTGAGAAAACAAGACATGAGAAGACAAGACATGAAAAGATAAGAGATGACAAGACATGAAAAGACAAGACTTGAGAAGACAAGACATAGGAAGACAAGACATTACAAGACATTAGAAGACAAGACATAAGAAGACAAGACATTACAAGATATTAGAAGACAAGACTTGAAAAGACAAAACAGGAGAAGACAAGACATGAGAAAACAAGACAAGACATGAGAAGACAAGACATGAGAAGACAAAACATGAAAAGATAAGATATGACAAGACATGAGAAGACAAGACTTGAAAATACAAGATATGAAAAGACAAGACACTACAAGACATTAGAAGACAAGACATAAGAAGACAAGACAGGAGAAGACAAGATGTGAGAAAACAAGACATGAGGAGACAAGACATGAGAAGACAAGACATTACAAGACACAAGAAGACAAAACATGAGAAGACAAGACATGAGAAGACAAGACATGAGAAGACAAGACATGAGAAGACAAGACATGAGAAGACAAGACATGAGAAGACAAGAGATGACAAGATGAGTCATGAGAAGACATGACATTACAAGACATGAGAAGACAAGACATGAGAAGACAAAACATGAGAAGGCAAGACATGAGAAGACAAGACATGAGAAGATAAGACATGAGAAGACAAGACATGAGAAGACAAGAGATGACAAGATGAGTCATGAGAAGACATGACATTACAAGACATGAGAAGACAAGACATGAGAAGACAAGACATGAGAAGACAAAACATGAGAAGGCAAGACATGAGAAGACAAGACATGAGAAGATAAGACATGAGAAGGCAAGACATGAGAAGACAAGACATGAGAAGACAAGACGTGAGAAGACAAGACAAGAGAAACCAAGGCATGGGACAAATACATCAAATAAAATAAAAAGAACACCTTTCACTCTCCATAATTTCCATCAGCTTCTCTGTCTCCTGTGCCTTTAAGTTGTAGTCTAGCAGCTCAGCTAGCAGTGTGCTGGCCCCATTTTCAACTGAAATGATCCAGAATAACATCTACTTAATCATCATCATCATCATCATGTGCATAGCCGATAAGCAGAGGCAGTCATGTTTCAACACCTCAGACACCAGCAGAGACGCAACCTGGCCTGTTGCAACCACAATGAAGACAAAGCTGTTTAGTACATGAGAAGATATGGCCTGTATGATAGCTTTCATAAAGGCTGCCGGCCTCCTGATATACATTTTCTGACAAAAGAATCAAAGAAGAAGAAGAGACACATCCCTAGAATCACAGATCAAATCAGTGAGTTTGACTCGACATGGCCAAGCCATCCAGGTATTTATCTGTTTACTTTCCCCTTGCTCTTTTTTTTTCATCAATCTTGCCAGTAGTCACCAAATTCTTGAGTTCAATTCTCATAAAATGTCTCCCCCCCCCCCCAAAAAAAAAACCATTGTCAATGTCTAATTTCTCTAATCAGTTTCTAGTTTTGAAATGTCTGTCTCGCAACATCAAGATCAATAGGAATAAACTCACAGGGAGCAAGTACAGCGGGGATCTACAGTCATCAGTAGAAATTATCCTCTTTCGACACACGTTTCGGCCCACGATTCCTAAACGTATTCGGAGGTGGGCCCACCTGAGTTCATGAAGCTCAGGGCTGCTTCCCCGCCGCACAGAATTACCGGATGGTGTTATACTTTCGGCCAGAGACAAGACGACTTGGTGGTTTCGAAGGAGGTACTGTGAGATAAGAAGTCGCCACGGCAGCGTAATTAGAACAGTCCGCATGCCTGGACGACCGAGCGACAAGCTTACTTTGGTTTACCGGACACATCTTGGACTTTTATTAGCAGTTGGCAGAGAGACACTGGCAGACAATTCGTACACGATGGACTTTTCAAAGGGATAAGAAACTCTTTTCCACTAGATACCCAGACCAGCTCACCGAGGCCCGTCCCCTACGTTGTTGCGCTGCGTCCAGAGCCAGCTGGATGCCCTTTCGGCCACCTCACCAAGTTTTTTGAGTGCCCGTTTCCGTTCATTACCGCGCAATCCTAACTCTTTAACCACATTGTAGAGCGAAGTGGAAACGAGGCCTCTCGCTCCCACTTCGACGGCAAATACCCGTACTGTGTAAGCCTCGTTTCTCCTCAAACCGGCTGCTAAATCACTGTATTTCTCGAGCTTATACAAATGATTCTCCTCCATCCGCGACTCAAACGGGACCGTCAACTCAATCAGGATGAGTTGCCGTTTTTGCGCAGAATGGAGAACGATGTCCGGTCGCAGGCCGGTTTTACGGATCAACTCGGGATACCGTTCATGTCCTGGCAGATCAACCGCCAGTAACCAGTCCCTCGCAGAGTCTAGCACAGATGGAGCGAATGCGTTTTTGTTGACATTACCTTTTGGAACCTGCCCAGCCTTGAGGAAACGAATGGGGACGATACTAGAACTGGCTCTGGCATTAGCCCTCATTCTAGCCTGGTCGACAACGGCTGCTAACTCTTTTAGCACCTTGTTGTGGCGCCAGGTATAGCGGCCTTGACCTAGGGCTTTCCTGCACGCGGACAGGACGTGCTCAAGAGTTTGCTTTGATTTGCACAACGGGCAAGTCGGATCGTTGGTCGCAGACCATTTAACCATGTTAACACCGGACGGTAATACATCGTACGCCGAACGAACGATAAAGCTCAGTCGCAGCGGGGTCATCCGCCAGATCTCACCCCATGTGAGTATTCTAGGCAATGCGCTCTCCAGGCTGACCCAATGGCCCTGCTACGACTGCTGGGCTGCTTTCTGAACCCGAATCTCGTTTTCGTTGTCCCTCACCGTTTGTATCACCATGTCTCGGCGTTCTTTGGCTGAGGCCTTTGACCACCAATTGACTTTCCCGTGCCCTAGGCCTCGACGGTCGGTTTGTGTGTAACCCATTACCTCCTTCAATTTTAGTGCGTTCTGAGCAGCTCCTATCGCATCGAGGACCTTCCACTTCTGGCCAGTCTTTAGAGCGGGCTGGACAGCGATGACATTTGGGTCTGAGGACTCGCGCAAAAGCATGGCGAGCCTAACTTTGCCGACTTTAAACTCTTCGGTTATTGACTTGAACGGAAGTACCAGCTTAGCCTGTTTACAATACAGAGCCACGTCGGTCAGACAAGGCGGTGCACCAATCCACTTTCTTAAGGCTGTATTGATTTTCTTTTCCATGGTTTCCACTGCAGTCATCGTCACCTCGTAGACTAGCAGTGGCCATAGAAGCTTCGGAATCAACATGAATTGGAGACACCATACCTTGAATTTCCCGACCAGCCTGCATCGCTCGATCGCGAGCAGGCCTGTAGCCAGTGACTCATGTATTCGCCGGACTTCCGCTCTGTCAGATAACTTCGAATCGTAAACGCAACCGAGACTCTTCACCGGTTCCTCCAGAACCGTAGGGATCTTGTTCCTTGCCACCGTAAAACTGGTCGCCGACACCTTGCCCTTATGGATTGACAGACTCCTCGATTTCTGCGGTTTGAACTGCATACCGCTCCATTGGACCACCGCGTCCAATCTATTCAGGATCGTGCGGGCAGACTCCTCGCTGCCCGTTATTATAGTCGTGTCATCCATAAATGCGCGCAGTGGCGGCAACCAGTGATCCCCTATTTGAAGGCCCAGTCCGTAGCCGGCCGCCCCGTCTAACACGATCTGCATTGCCATGACAAACAGTATAGGTGAGATCGTACACCCCATAGCTATCCCAATCTGCAACTCAGTCCACCTCGTGGTAAACGTCGAGGTAGAGAAGCGCAAAGCGAACTTAGAGAAATATATATCAAAATATATCAAAAGTTGATAAGACCAGTCATTTTATATGGCTCTGAAACTTGGAGAACAACTACAAGAGTTTAACCCTTATTTAAAATTTTCGAAAACAGTCTTATGACAAATCTTTGGACCCATCAAAGATGCAAACAGCGGAAAATAGAGAGTGAGAAGCAACAACAACAGTCATAACCTGTTTAAATCACCAAAATATTCGAAGATATGCGAGGTTTTTTTTTTTCAATCTCTTACATATGAAAAGTCATTCGTTTACTTAGGTAGGGAGCTGGGAAACAAATTTTAATTTAAAAAAGGCGCCGTGACTAAGACAAGTTTGGGAAACACTGGCTTATGAAATAGTTCTAAGTGTGTATAGCCAACTTATCATGCCTGACAAACTGCATTTCTGGTGACGACTGTTGGCTTTGGTGCCTCTAGCAACTGCCATATGCATTTAAAGCGTGCATCCTGGATTGTGCCAGGACTAATTGTTAGTTCACCAGTTTTTCAAATAGGATAGTGAGGGACATTTCATTTCATTTTTAATGGCAAGGAATGGAGCAAGTATGGGGGTGACCCGACTGCAATGAAGTTGAAACCTTGACTAAGACTAGTTTAAATTATGATGACATATAAGGAGACTGTATATATAAGCATACCATGTCAAAAATCAACAGCCACTTAGAAAAACCTTGGCTGAAAACATAAAATAAATCTGATATAAACGGAAGTAATATCAGTGAAAACAGCATTTACTGATGACCAAACTGACATGTCACGTAAAGAAATGGAAACAAACATTGAAATGCAATGAAACTGTGAAGTGTGATTTAGTTGTTTTTTTTTTGCAGACAGTGGCATGAGAGTCAAAGCGTGGAAGAGATTAGGGCTTCACCTTTGATATCCACAAAAGAGGCTCTCCCTGTGGGTTCCAGGGCTCGGTTAGTGAGAACAAAGAATAAATAATAAAGCCACTGCCTCTCTAACAAGGATGTGGCTAATTAGGAGTGTTTTCTTCAAAGGCAAAGCCCATCTGCCTGACAGGCAAGGAACCAACAGTCTGCACACAAATAAGCTAGATTTGTAAAATAGATGTGCAAGCAAAATTCAAGTTCTGGATAAAGACCAAAATCCAGAAGCGAACGAACAACCAAAACTTTCTGCCGAAGTTTACAGTCGTTGAAAGCTAAGAAAAAGAAGAGATACCCACAAAGACCGCCGTGCCTTATGCGAAGCTATCGACAGGCAACCGGCTGCCCTGTGAAGAAGGAAATAGCCAAAGAAGGCCAAACCTGGTGCAATAAAATTTATCTTCTCCCCTTTCAATATTCCCTTTTTTTGTGTACAAGTTTTCTCTCTCCATGAAGTAATATTATTACCATTTTAGCAGCACACAATCTTTTCATGTTCATGTGTTTCTTATCTGCTGCAAATGCACAAAATCCATCTACTTTAAAAGGCCCCTTTTGTGTGCAGGTTTCTTTGTTATTTGAGTAATATTATTGCAATTTTAATAACATATTTTTATTGAATAAGTTTATAGATTTCTTATTTGCTGTAAAGTCATGAGGACCCTCTATTTTAGACACTCGGAAAAAACCAAAACCATTCTTGAAGATTTCATAACACTGTTTAATCACAGCTTACTTTCTTTCAAGTACTTGAGAAACTCATTCCTCTCTGCTTCCTTTCTGTCGTTCAAGTACTCCAGGTCATTAGAGTCTTGCTCCTGATGCTGGTAATGAAACAGTCAAGAGGACATGCTGAATTTAAATATAATGATGCTAGAAGTTAACATATGTTCGGTGTTACATTTACTATGTGAGTAACTGACGATAATACAATCTTGTGTAAGTGATGGCTGACAACAGTCTCATGTTCTATATGAGAGTAACTGATGAAACTGTCTTGTGTCCTATCTGAGTGACTGATGATTTACAAATAGCTCGAATTACAAACAGCTCTACAGACAAACCTTTCAAGATATGAATTTTTTTCATATTCTTTTTTGACCTCTACATATGAACCTAGTAAAGTAAAGGACCCTTTTCTACGCCTTCAGGCATATTTGGAATATATGGATAGACCGATATTTTATAGACCAATCGTCATTTGGTGGGCAATGTGGTCAGCATCACGCCAACCGCCTTTACTTCCCAGGAATGTACCCGATATCCACTCAAGGTTGAGTCGACCTGGGAGCCAAGGTCAATTTTCCCCCCAAAAAAAGAGCGGTCCCATCAGGAATTAAACCCACTACCTTCCAATCTGCAGGTAAGCGTCTAGCCTCTAGACTGGGGTGGCTCCCCGGGAAAATAGTAAGGAGAAGATAAACAGATAAATACATGGATGGCTTGGCCACATGAATAGGGCGGGGCAGTAGCACTGACCCAATTCCATGATTCTGGTGATTATGTGTGATGATGGACCATCACCACCAACACCAGTGCTGTTCAACTAAGTTTACCCGGGGGCCAAAATGTTGAAAATGAGGACCGTCACGGACCAGAGGCTCAAGCCCCAGCACAGAAAGATCAATTAATACAACTGGCACTGATCTACGGGCCACTTGCTAGGCCTCTGCGTGCTCAATCCGGCCCGCAAGTCGCCAGGTGAATAGCCCTGACCTAGAATTATTGACATGGCAGAGGATGATGATTATGATGCTGATTTTTCTCCCAGGGCATGCTGGTGTGAGAGAGCAGACACCATAGCTGATATTGCAACTATCAGAATGGGCCATCTGTGGGCAGGAGAGACATCAAAAATGCCACACAAGAGACTAAACGCTGAGAGGCTTTCAGCTTCGTGTTCACTGAACAGACTGCATACCAATGGTGTACCAATTAGAGCAGCGAGAAAGGAAAACCATACAGAAACCAGCCATCGTTATATCAACCAGAACAGATTGGAAGTTATTAGCCTTAAAATGCTTGTAGACATACTCAGGAGATTGGAGCACTTATGGTCATGTCTGATGTGCAACGCTTGTAGACATACTCAGGAGATTGGAGCACTTATGGTCATGTCTGATGTGCGACGCTTGTAGACATACTCAGGAGATTGGAGCACTTATGGTCATGTCTGATGTGCGATGCTTTTAGACATACTCAGGAGATTGGAGCACTTATGGTCATGTCTGATGTGCGACGCTTGTAGACATACTCAGGAGATTGGAGCACTTATGGTCATGTCTGATGTGCAACGCTTGTAGACATACTCAGGAGATTGGAGCACTTATGGTCATGTCTGATGTGCAACGCTTGTAGACATACTCAGGAGATTGGAGCACTTATGGTCATGTCTGATGTGCGATGCTTTTAGACATACTCAGGAGATTGGAGCACTTATGGTCATGTCTGATGTGCGACGCTTGTAGACATACTCAGGAGATTGGAGCACTTATGGTCATGTCTGATGTGCAACGCTTTTAGACATACTCAGGAGATTGGAGCACTTATGGTCATGTCCGATGTGCGATGCTTTTAGACATACTCAGGAGATTGGAGCACTTATGGTCATGTCTGATGTGCAACGCTTTTAGACATACTCAGGAGATTGGAGCACTTATGGTCATGTCTGATGTGCGACGCTTTTAGACATACTCAGGAGATTGGAGCACTTATGGTCATGTCTGATGTGCGACGCTTGTAGACATACTCAGGAGATTGGAGCACTTATGGTCATGTCTGATGTGCGACGCTTTTAGACATACTCAGGAGATTGGAGCACTTATGGTCATGTCCGATGTGCGATGCTTTTAGACATACACAGGAGATTGGAGCACTTATGGTCATGTCTGATGTGCAACGCTTTTAGACATACTCAGGAGATTGGAGCACTTATGGTCATGTCTGATGTGCGACGCTTTTAGACATACTCAGGAGATTGGAGCACTTATGGTCATGTCTGATGTGCGACGCTTGTAGACATACTCAGGAGATTGGAGCACTTATGGTCATGTCTGATGTGCGACGCTTTTAGACATACTCAGGAGATTGGAGCACTTATGGTCATGTCCGATGTGCGAGGCTTTTAGACATACTCAGGAGATTGGAGCACTTATGGTCATGTCCAATGTGCGACGCTTTTAGACATACTCAGGAGATTGGAGCACTTATGGTTATGTCTGATGTGCGATGAAGATGATCTTTAAATGAACAATGAACAATGATGCTGATGATACTACCTGAGTGATTGATGACAACAGTCTTCTGTGTTCTTCCGCGGCTCTTGTTGCCAGCTCTGTTTGAGCTTCCTGCTCAGCACACAAAAGTCTCTCCAGTTCCTGCGCATCCTTCCTCTTCTGATCCTGAATGTCCACAGTTTCGTACAAATTATTAACAATAATTATTAACAGTTATTAAGACATTAAAACACGAGTATGAGCGCCAAGAAACAGACTATCAACAGCATATTTTTATCAACGCTGTGCTACCAGTGCCAGACTTGGATATTATTAAAGGCTAACCTATATAAAATTAACACTTGTGAAATTAGATGCCTGAGAAAAGCCACCAACTTAACCATCCAAGACAAGGCTAGAAATGATATTATCAGACAGACTGTAGGAACAACACCATGCGGCAGATTCATCGAGAAACAGAAGATCAAATGGTTTGGTCATCTAGTAAGAATGCAGCCAGAACAACTACTAACGCAGGCGCTACACATGAAAGGATCTGAAGTGAAATCAAGAGGCCGCCCTAGAAGAATATGGATTGATGACATTAAAGAGCTTCTACATCAACACAAAAAGACAGTAGCCATTGCTACCTACCAAGCAAAGGATCGCAAACTGTTCCTCCCCACAACACCTAATGGCAGAAGGGTAACTGATGATGATGATGATGATGATAATGATTAACAATTACAACCGCTGAAATGACTCAGTGGAGTAGTCACAGACAATGACAGTTTAAAGATAATTGTCCACCTTTCCAGATGGTGGAATTTCTCAATAAAATTAATGTTCATGATTACATCCAACTCTCATGCGAGACGCCCAGTTTTGAATGCTAGGTAAGACTGAGGATTTTTTTTCTGTCCCGAGCAAAAACATAATCCTAATCTGCAGTTTGTGGAAACAACAGTCCTAAATTCTCAAGCTCAAATACCCCCCCCCCCTTTCACCACCACAATTACAGTGAAAGACTGATGTAGAGAAAAACATATATGAAAAATAATGACTTACAAGTACACTTTGGTAAGCTGCAACACCTTGCTGAAATAAATAGAAGATATAGGTTTTAAAGAGACACATTAGATAAATCATAGAAGTGAGAAGCAGAGGTAGACAGAGGGACTAGGAGGAATAGGAGGTAACAGAGAAATCTAATACAGGAGAAAGGTAGGGAAAACAAGGTAATGGTCTCCTTCTCCTTTGACTTCTGCACTATCTCCTTCCTCTTCTCCTCATTCTCCTTTTTCCTTCTCCTTCTCCTTCTTACTGTTAACAATTTGCTGGTTTTTGCAGTGAAATGTTTTCTCACATGAGCCCTCCTTAATCATTCACCTCTTATGATTTGCATGGCAGGTTGTAGTGCTTCCTCCCTCACTGGCATAGCTTTTTTCTGGTGGTATGCAATGGTATGCAGTACTGGCACCTATTTTAAGGCATTATGTTTTCTTCATGGCACTATGGTAACAGATACTCTGGCATCTTTTTTCTTCTTCTCTTTTTTTTTTTTCAAAGAAAACAAAAGCCCTGGTAATACTTGGGCGATAGACCATCATACTTACTAGAACATCTTCTGATAGTTACCTTATGAGGCGTCTGTGGCTTTGGTGCTAAAAAGCATGTCTTGCAATTCCGAGGTACCGGTTCGATTCCCACAGCAGGCGATCTGGCAGCAGACCACTTTGCATGATTTTGAGGAAGGTATAAAGAGCTGACCTTTCAGAGAACGGCAAACTACTGAACACAAAACTGTCTGGTAAAGCCAAACAGCCAACAAATTCTGGCGTTGGTTATGCAACATCCCATAAAGAATACGCTAAACTTTATTTCACGAGTCTACCATAGAGCCATCTTGGTTACACAAAAACCTGCCCTTTGTCAAGGTTTCTGGTGATGGCTAGAACAATTCACTCTGAGAAAACCTGACAATAACCAAATGAAAAGTGGGATCAATCAGCTTTACAATATCACAGAAGCAAACTATCTTTGAGGTACAGCCCTTGTCCCTCACACCGTTTTCTGGCCAGTAATTATACGTTTATATCTGGCCAGTATTTTTTTCCTGTGGTCACACGTGTTATATATTCTACTGGCTAGATAGCGATGGGATTTTTTAACGTCAGCTAAGTGATTTGAGAATTCTTGTGTGACTAATATAGGGAAAAATATGGTAATAGTCTCCTTCTCCTCTGACTTCTGCGCTCTCTTCTTTCTCTTCTCCTTATTCTCCTTTTTTATCTTCCGATTTAATATGTAAAGATATGAGAGAACTTTACCGCTAGAAAGCTTTTATCAGCACATTAAATAAATCTAAAATGCGATAAATACAAACAAGAATTCTCAAATCACTTAACTGATGTATCTCCAATAAAAATCCCAACTCTGACTAGCCAGTAGAATCTACGACACATGTGTGACCACTGTAAATAAATACTGGCCACAAAACGGAATGAGCGACAAGGACCATAACTAAAAGATATTAGATAAAACTGTGTTGGATGTTACGTAGCTTATGTGAACTGTCCCCAACTGGATGGATAAAGTGGTTCTCACGAGACTTATGGACTCTTGTTATTCCAGCAGCTAGATCTGAGGGATAAAAGCTATCAAGGACACTCTGGCTACCCTGAGATTTACCATACTGACATGTAATGGCAATGATTTGAGGCCACTTTTTCTGCACAAGAGAAAAATGCTGCACGAACATGTCAGCCAGACATACTGTTAATGAAGAGGCTCAGACCATAGTCTATTATGTAGAGTACATGGTAAAAAATCTACAACGCTACTGAAACTTCAAGAGGAAATAAGTGCTCTAAATGTCCGGTGGTCTTGGGACAGAGTATCAGCATGAACAACATGGGTGAAAGCCGAAAGGAAGCCCATGATGGGAAAACAAGTCTGCTGGATGTCAAAACCAAATTAAGAATTGGCTTCTGGAATGTAAGAACCATGTTTGAAACGGCCAAAACTGCCCAAGTAATTAAAGAAATGCAGAACTATAAACTGCATATTCTTGGAATTAGTGAAAGCAGGTGGACAGGGTCTGGACAATTCCCAACAGGTACAGGAGAAACCATAATATACTCTGGAAGAGATGATAACCTACATTCTGCAGGCGTGGCACTTATTTTAAAGAAAGGTATACACAAACATCTCATCGAGTGGCATCCAATCAATGAAAGAATAATGACAGCACGATTCAATGGGAAACATGCCAAACTTACAGTCATCCAATGCTACGCACTGACTAATGAAGCTGAAGATGAAGATAAAGAAACATTCTTTAGGAGACTGCAAGAGGTAATAGATAAAGTACCAGACCATGATATTCTATGCATTATGGGAGATCTCAATGCAAAAGTTGGTAACAACAACTTGAATAGAGAATTATCAATGGGAAATCAAGGATGTGGTACAATTAATGAAAACAGGGAGACTGAGCGACTTCTGCACGGCGAATAGACTTGTTATAGGAGGAACACTATTTCCTCACAAGAATATACACAAGCTTACATGGATATCCCCAAACAGAAGACCATTTCATGGTAAACAGAAAATGGCGTGGGTCCCTACTCGATGTGCGTGTCAAAAGGGGAGCAGATGTGGGAAGCGATCATCACCTTGTAGTCGCTCTACTACGACTTAAACTCAAAAAAATTTACACTCAAGTTAAGACACAGAGAGCACGTTACAATGTTAACCTTTTAAGAGAAAAAGACATTGCCACTAAATTTATAGTAGAACTCAAGAATAGATTTCAAACCCTATCAAGTGACCCAGAAACTCCAACTACAATCAGCATTCAAGACAGATGGAACCAGATGAAAGAAACATACAAATCAACTAGCAATAAAATTTTAGGAACCAGGAAACAACACCACAAAGAATGGATAAGTATTCAAACCATGGACTATTGTCAAGCGAAAAAGAATAAAGAGCCTCATAAATCACACTAAATCAAAACGTCAGAAAGACAAACTAATGTTAGAATATAGCGAACTAAATAAAATGACAAAGAAAAGTGCTAGAGCTGACAAGAGAAGATTTATGGAAAATCTTGCAGAAACAGCAGAAAATGCTGCTAAAGCACAAGATCTACAAACCCTACACAAAATTACCCAGCAAATTTGCGGAAACAGAAACAATTATCACAGCATACCCATCAGAGATAACCAAGGCAGACTGCTCACCACAGAACAAAAACAAGACATGCAGTGGACTAAACACTTCTCCGACCTTTTGAACAGACCTGATCCTGAAAATCCCCCAGATATTCAACCAGCCTCTCAGGACATTGACATTATTACTGAACCACCAAGCAAACAAGAAATCCTTAAAGCTATCCACACTTTAAAGAACAACAAAGCACCAGGCAAAGATGAACTGCCAGCAGAACGTCTCAAAGTAGATCCCAACACAACTGCTAGCATTCTAGAACCATTGTTCAAGGATATTTGGGAAAAAGAAGTGTTGCCTGATGACTGGACTGAAGGAACAATAGTCAAAATCCCCAAAAAAGGAGACTTAACAGACTGCAATAATTGGAGGGGAATTACTTTACTCTCAGTACCAAGCAAAATATTTTGTAAAAATCATCATAATGCGGCTTGAAAAAGGAGTAGATAAATGCCTACGAGGGAAACAAGCAGGATTCAGAAAGGGCAGAGGAACAACTGAGCACATCTTCGCCATACGTAACATTTTAGAACAATGCAATGAATGGCAGAGAAGTATATATATTAATTTTGTGGACTTTGAGAAAGCTTTTGACAGCGTCCATAGAGACGGTCTGTGGAAAATTTTACAACATTATGGAATTCCGGAAAAAATAGTCAACATAATTGCTCTCTTCTATAAATAAAGAATTTTCCTGCAGTATAAAAAATTACAAAACATCTTTCCCAGTAAAGACAGGTGTAAGACAGGGATGTGTTATGTCATCTCTCCTCTTCAACCTTGTGATTGATTGGATACTAAAGAACACAGTAGACAGGACACTAAGAGGCATACGATGGACTCCATTCACCATGCTTGAGGACCTTGATTTTGCAGATGATATAGCACTCCTATCACATAAACATGAACATATACAAGAGAAAAGTAACAGACTACACTGCACAGAAGAAATGGTGGGATTGAGAATAAATACAAAGAAAACTAAGATCACGACAAACAGTCCAAACCAACAACTAGTGACCATAAGTAACCAATCACTTGAAAATGTAGAACATTTTACATATCTTGGCAGTGTGGTGTCCCTACTGGGAGGGACAGACGAAGACATACAGTCACGCCTGAACAAAGCTAGAGCTGCTTTTGGAAGGTTGAGGCAAATCTGAAAATCCAACAATTACTGCAGAGGAACAAAACTCCGACTCTACAAGAGCATCATTTTGCCAGTTCTTCTTTATGGAGCGGAATGCTGGAGAATGACCAAAAAGGATGCACACAAGCTGTCCACCTTCCACCACACATGTCTACGTAGAATTATCCAAATTTTCTGGCCAGATACAATCTCAAACACTAAACTACTTCAAGCCACAAACCAAGAAACTTTAGACATTATGATTACCAAGAGAAGATGGAAAAGGCTAGGCCACGTTATGAGAATGACTTCTGGTATACCTGCCAAAACAGCTCTCACATGGACACCAGAGGAAAAGAGAAAACAGGGGCGCCCAAAAAACAACATGGAGACGAACGATGGAAAGTGACCTGAGTGCGGCATCTTTGACATGGAAAACTGCACTGAAGATTGCACAGGACAGGAAAGCATGGAAAGTCCTCTCTGAAGCCTGATGTACCACTAGGCATAATGATAACTGATAACATGGTAAAGAAGGAAGATTAGGCATTGTTCATTCTATGTCAACTGATGTCCCCACCTTCAGCGCTTTCAAGTCTTACCTGGCTGTGATACTCAGTGCTAGAGTTTTGCAATGTTCTGAGATCCTGTGTATGTGATCTATGGATGGAGACTAGAGACTAATGAAGGTATCATGATCAGAGACTCGTATAAGATGATCAGAGACTGGGCTTAAACTGTCCTGGTGTGATTTACACAAAGAGACTGAAGACTTTACTGAAGGACACACATACCATCATCTGAGACTCCATCTGGGCAATGTTCAACATGCCATCACTGAACGATGAAGTCAGAGTTTTGTTGGAAGTTTGAGTCTTCAGCCAGTACTTGGAAGGATGCTCATATTCAATCCCTGCTTCTGATTTGAAGAAACATTGACAACAAAAAAGAGTAAGTAAGAGATCAAACTAAAACAAATGCCAGACACTTTACTGTTAACAATAAATATCTGCTTACTACTGCAAAGTAATATCCTAGTATGAAATATGAGCCAATACCTCCCCAAAAAAAAACTATTTAACACTAGAAAGAAGCTTACTAAACTATATTAAAAAAAAAAAAAACTATATCTCACAATAATGACATCTCTATTTAACACTACAAAGGAACATCTGCTTCCCATTATAAATGAACATGAACCTACAAATGCAAAGAACAATCTACTTATTACTTTTAAAAAACATCTATTTACTATTAGAATAAAATATCTATTTACCACTACCAGGAACATCTATTTGTGCCTGCAAAGAAACTTCTTAACACTACACAGGAATATCTACATGTGTCTGCAAAAAAAAAAAAAAAAATAACTACTTACCACTACAAAGGAACATCATGATTGCAGCTGTACTTTTCTTGCATGTTTCTACAAATGACAATGAACATAAACAATGTCAGTATCAAAAGACCATCTCACTAACTTAAACAGACAATACAGCAGGAATCAATCTTACCAGTTTTAGCATGTTCTCAAGTCCATTTCTTATCATTAACAATTCCAAAAAACACCGACTGTCTACCAACATCCTACATAAAATAAACTCATCAAAAGATGAATGAATGTTGATTGTTGAATTAAGGATCGACATCACATCAATTGGAACACTCCCATAAGTGCTCTATACCAATCTTCAGCCACAAGCTAAGAGTTCCAATCTGTCTGACTGTACATCTGTCTGGCCTTTCCCATGAGCGTCGAGTGTCGGATAAAAAAAACCCGGTAACTCCTCACAGCACGATTCTCCTCAGACTGTGATGATCTATTTCTGTCTCCACACTGTTCTCTCGCTCCCAGAGTGCCCTCACAACATCTAGCTTGTCGTACATCAATTACCACCAAGTGGTGCAAAACTAGAGTCTATCGGTCTGCTCGTTTAACAACACACCAGCATAACCTGGAAAATATCCAAAATACATTAACTACCTGGGACCTCCAAAGTGATGCCTGCCACTCTGAAAGGAGCATGCCCGTCTCCACTTTTCTCACCTGACTCTGTAAGTATCAAAAGAAACTGAAAGCAGCAACAACAACAACAGCAGCAACAACAACAACAACAACAAAAGTCAAGCTCACCTTGAGATGGATATTTCATTTTTTCAATATCAAATATCAACGTCTCCAGGGCCCTGACACAACACAGGTTAACAGGCAACTGAATGATATCATTGAGAGAGATGTCCAGTGTCCGTAAACGTCTAAGTTTCAGTATGGGCTCTGGGAAGAATTTGAACTTGTTATCTGAGGAGTAACAAGAAGAGATTAAAACAATGAAGAAATTAGAAGAAGACTATACTTAAACCAATCATAAATTCATTAAAGAGCAGCAGATGAGATGGTTCAGTCATCTGTCAAGAATGCCCTGGTACCAACTGCCACATCAAGTGTTGATTGGTCTATGTACAAAAGGAGGTAATACCACATGTTTGATGCCCTAGAAATGTTTGGGGAAAAAATACTTTAAAAAAAAAAAAAATCACTTGATGCACATCACTAATGAATTTGTAATAAATTTATCCATCTACATTTAAAAAACAATTTAAAAAAAAATATATGTTGAATGTTGAATTAAGAATCAACATCACAGCACTCGGGACACTAACATAAGCGCTGTCCCCATCTTCAGTAGTAAGCTAAGAGTTCCAGTTCTGATGGCACCAGTAACTGTCTGACTGTAAATCAGCCTCACCTTTCCCTTGAGTGCTGAGGGTTGGCCAGATCCCCTGGTAACACCTCGCAGCGCCATTCTCCTTAGACTGTAATGATCTATTTGTGCCTTTGCACTGTTCACTCGCTCCCAAAGGGTCCTCACAACATCTAGCTTGTCATACATCAATTTCACCCCTAAGTGGTGCAGAACTGGCCAGTCTATCTGCCTACTCTTTTTCCAACACAGCGGCATAACTGGAGAAAAAAATACAAAGGATGCTAACTACCCGAGACCTCTGAAGCGATTCCTGCCACTTTGCATAGAGCATGCCTGTCTCCACCTTTCTCAACACGCTCTGTGAGTCAGTTACAATTATGACATGCATGTGTATGCACCTAATTTTCAAGCCAGCAGACTGCCTCCACCTCCATTCTCAAACTCGACCTTTGTGATATCATATGCCAGGCTTTACTGCATCAAGCGACGTTTGCTTTCTGAATGGTAAGGTCTCGGTACGACTATCGAAACCAATGCAAAACAAACTGTGCGCAGCTGGGATCGAACCCGGCACCCTGGCATTACAAAGCATGTTCACAATGCCTAAGCCACAGACGCCGATTGCTAACTAGTTATATGACATCGCTACATAATTCCTCATGCCCCCTTTGGTTATCACATTACCCAATTCCATGTTAACAGTTACTTTAATCATCATGTGAAGGCAAAGACATGTTAACTAGGCTTCGTGGGGACAGACCATAGCAGAAATGCTGGTTAAGCATTGACAGGATTGAGCCACAGACAGAAACGATGGCTGGCAGCATCTTAAGGTGACAGGGCTGAGGCAAGAAACAGTCTTTTACTTACTTTTTACTACAATATCAATATGACATAGAAGCCGCTGTAGAGCAGTGGTTAGATGCTCGTCTGCGGATCGGAAGATCATGGGTTCGAGTCCTCATGGAACTAGTCGTTTAAAAAAAATTATTTTGGCTTTCATTGACAGAGCCTTGAGTCGGCCCCTGATATAGTCCTGGGGCGTAAAGGCGGCCGGCATAACGCTGACCACATCACCCACCAAGTGCAGACTGGTTTATAAAATATAGGTCTAGCCCTATATGCCCAATACGCCTGAGGGCATGGGAAAGGGTCCTTTACTTAATTACTTTAAAATATGACAAAGTTCAACAAATGATTCATGGCAATTCCCGCCCAAGGGATGTGATTATCTTTACAGATGGCTCTGTGTTGAGTGGCAGACGAAGTGCATGGGGGTTCATCGCAAAAGCAAATGGATGTCGCTTAGTGCAGCAAAGCCTGGCATATGATATCACAACGTCTAGTTTGAGAATGGAAGTGGAGGGAGTCTCTGCTGCCTTCCGCTGGCTTGAGAATCAGCTGTACACACATGCTGTGATTGTCACTGACTCATAGAGCATGTTGAGAAAGGTGAAGACAGGCATGCTTTGTGCAGAGTAGCAGTCATCATTTCAGAGGTCCCTGGTAGTTAGCATCCTTTGGATATTTTCTCCAGGTTATACCGGTGTGTTGGGGAATGAGCAGGCAGATAGACTGGCCAGCTCTGCACCACTTGGCGGTGGACTGATGTACGACAAGATAGATATTGTGTGGACCCTTTGGAAATGAGTGAACAGTGCGGAGGCGTAAATAGACCATTACTGTCCGAGGAGAATGGCGCTGCGAGGAGTAACAAGTGGTTTTGGCTGACGCTTAACACTGAGGGGAAGGATGAGATGGATATACAATCAGACGGTGACAGGTGCCATCAGAATTGGAACTCTTTGCTTGCTGCTGAAGATGGGGACGAAGCCTTTATGGGAGTGTCCTGAGTGCTGTGAAGTCGATTCTTAATTCAACCTTCCATATTTTTTACAATATGACACAAATGATTTAATCAAAACATGACTTACTTCTAATGTTCAATGTCTGTAAAGATTGCAGGTCTTCAAATGCTTTAGGCAGTGTTTTGAGATAATTGCTGGATAAATCCAAAACCTGACAACAATGGAAACAATAACTAGTGAAATCTTGAGGCATTCATGGAATTAATCTGTTGGGTAGGCTTCTTTTAATTCACCCTGCTAGCTTTTTCAGGTGAGAAGGCCACAGGCCTTTATGAAGGCTTTGGTGTGACACATATTTTCCACTGTTCCATACAGCTTGTTATGTTATCACAATCAACGTCTTTGCACATTGGGCATCCCCATGTGTGCTCAGTCCTCCAATTCCGCAGCCACTCCAAGGTACCTCTAGTGACTGCTCCCAAAAGGAGTTGGTTATAATATCTCCTGTCTTTACCTCGAAGACAGCAGAGTCGTGCTTCACCAAGCTCAACTCCTTGGTCATGCACTTGTGCTAGCGTCAGAGATACGCCATTTTTCCCCAACCTAGTCCATACAGTTTTGATAGTATCAGCTTCGTCCACGCTTCTTCCCATCTGCATTGGTGCACTGCCTGCCCGCTGGTCAGCTATTTAATTACCATTTACTCCTGCATACCCAGGTGTGTAGATCCAGATGATGGAGGTCAACTGCGACTATTTCCGAACACTTTCTACCTATTTAGAGTGCAGACTACCTGTAGCAATTTTCTAAAGCATGTTTATGGAGTCTAAAACGATTATCGTTTGTGTGGCCAATTGTTTTGTAACCCATGTGAGTGCTCTGGAAGAAGAAGTTAATGACATACAGCTTGATTTCCACTGAAATGCTGACTGGTGAGACCTCTCTACTGCCTTCAGAGGAAGCATGTCTGCAGCACATGTTGAATATTCTTTTCGCTTACGCACTGGACACTGCAGACTCAATAAACACTCATATAAATTAGGTATGAGCCAAACAGCTCTCTGCCAGTGTCTTCCTGCTGAACAGACTCCAGAACATGTCCTGCAAGACTGTCCTCTCCTGGCGGAGCTGCGGAGCAACATATGGCAACAGCAAATAGAACTGACAACTAAGCTTTGGGGAAACCTAAGAGACCTTGAAAAGACATCCCAGTTTATGACCCACAGTGGATTATGCGCATGACCAGAGATCGCTGAAGAAGAAGAAGAATATTCTCGGATATCTATCCACATGGGAAAAATTCAGTCCTCCAATCTTGGACGTCCTACACATATGGCCATGATGTAGGTAGTGTGTAAGTTCTGAACTATTTCTCTGGTGCTGTTCTTGCAGATTCACACAGTGTTTGTTAACTGTTCTTGTCTTTGTGTGTGTGTAGCTGTACGTTAACCATAACAAGTAGTAAGTGTATGAAACATATGAGAAGTGTGAATCTATCAATATAAATAAAAAAGTATGTCTATCTGTTTGTCTGTCTGTCTCATTCATGTGTAAACAATCCTTACACCTCTCCCAAATCTCTGCTGAGATAACTAACAGAAGAGAAGAAGGAGAAGCTGCTGTTATGACATATGTTCCTCATATAGTTTACAACCAGCACTGCATGTGTACACTTGTATGTACCCATATGCTTAAAATACAGGACTATGAGCCATCTGCTAACCCTGGCACAGAAGAGCAATGACTATGAATGTAAACTGTGAAAGAGAGTCAAAGTTCTTACCTGAAGATGAAGCAGGCATCCAAAGTCCTCAGGCAGTGACTTGAGTTCATTGTTGTGGAGGTCTAATACCTTCATCAGACAGTGAAATGTAACCTATTATGCAAAGAGCTTTTTGAATAGGCTTTTCAAATCCTATATGTACAAGGTCCGACAATTAAGTAATGAGACTGATTTTATTACGGCCAAGACAAAAGTGCCATCTATGAAGCAAAGGATGGAATCCAAAGAGGCAACCTTAATCTATGATCTGACAACTTTGCATCACCGCCTGCTAAGCAGACGACAAACAAGCCGCCATTTTATTGACCTAGTTAGATGTGCCTTGTTACGAAATCAGCATGGAACAAAAAGCTAACAATAAACATGGATTAAAACTCAGAAAAACAGCCACTAAGACAGTTAAATTGATTGCAACAAATTTATAGGGATAATTTTTCATCTGGTGCACAGATTTTCAGGTGGTATTCATGATTCAAAAGTGGTGTGAAATGATTACTATTGCAACTAGATCTGGACACCCAATTTCTGTTTGTAAAGATTAACTCATTGCAAAAGTCACAGAACGGATACAAGAAGATCGTTGTTTTACTGTCAGGATAGAGTCTATACAGATGGGTCCGCAAAAAGTGCAGTTAGAAATGGTGGTGCTGGAGTGTACATAGAATTCCCATATGGTACTAGGGATAAGTCCAGCGTACCAACCGGAACGTACTGCCATAACTATGATGCAGAAACTCAGGCTATCAAGATAGCAACAGAGAAACTGCTAAATACCAATCTTGGCTCACAGTATGTGGTAATGCTGACAGATGCAAAATCAGTACTTGAAGCACTCCAGTCTAGGAAACTACCATAATTGCAAACACTGCTTACACAACTTAGCCTTCAGCGAAGAGTTGTAATGCAGTGGATACCATCACATTGTGGAGTGCCCGGAAATGAAAAAGCTGATCAACTGGCAGGAGAAGGTGCGACAAAACCCATTACGTAACCACATGTGCACAAAATTCAAGATATGGTATCAGCCATGTGCACCTGTGGAAAGGTGCCCCAGACAGCAGAGCATGTACTCCAGGACTGCACCGAATTTGACACAAAATTTTAGTGCAAAATTTTGGCAAGAAAAAAATTGCTTGCAGGTTTGTACCCCATTCATTGCTTATGACCAAAAACATCAGCAGGTTGAGTATCCACGAGACATCATCAAAACAGGAATTTTTGGCCCCAAAACAAGTGTGTGTTCTCAACTATCCACTCTATTCCCCAGATTTGCCTCCCTGTGATTATTTTTTGTTTCACAAATTCAAGTTACCATTGAAAGGGCGCTTCTTTGATGATATTTATTACATCCAAAGGGTTGTAATATCGACTTTAAGGGCCCATAGCAACAGAAGAACTACAGAGGTCATTCCTGTGTTTGTTAGATTGTGCTACTCACTGTATCAATGCACAGGGGGCTTACTTTGAATAAAATACAGGTTATATCTTCAGCTGTTGATTATTTTAATTTTTATGGAATTAGTCTCATAACTTAATTGTTAGACCTTGTATATGAAACAAAAGTAAAACTGACTCAAACCAGTTATGTCGATGGTTTGGTTTGTTCAACAGATCAACACCATGATACACGGGTGTAACCCACATGATACATGGGTGTAACCCACATGATACACGGGTGTAACCCACATGATACACGGGTGTAACCCACATGATACACGGGTGTAACCCACATGATACACGGGTGTAACCCACATGATACACGGGTGTAACCCACATGATACACGGGTGTAACCCACCATAAGTGTTCTGTTCTACTTCTAAGTCAAGCGAGAGTCTCAAGGATGCCAGCGCAGACAGGCTCCAGGTAGTCTTAGCTCTGAATGGGTAGAAAGTGTTCGCAAGTAGTCGCAGTTGACCCCCATCATCTGGAAGTTATGGTAATACTCGTCCTAGTAATTCTTTTACTTCTGCCAAGAAACTGGTCCTCTACATTACTGTTACTACACTATCAAAAGTTCATCATCAACATGTGCCCTTTTTTAGAATATCTTCTTCTTCTTCTTCTTCTTCTTCTTCTTCTTCTTCTTCTTCTTCTTCTTGGCGTTCACTGCCTCTAAGCTCTGGTGGGAAGTTCTGGTTTTTCGTTTACTTCTGCACATCCATTTTACAGAACTGGCCTATTTGTATGCAAATACAAAAAAGCTGAAAAGCAGATATCACAGTCTAGCTAAAAACCACAACATAATGTACTAGTTGCCCTTTTAATAGCTTATGCTGGAGATGAAGAAAAGAATGGTATAGGCTAACTAAATTATTTATTTACTAGCTACATTCAAGACCGGATTTAAAAAAACATGCCTGTTTCTGAAGCACTTTGCTCCCTTGCACTCCGACTTTGAAGGAAGTCCCTAATTAGTCGACTCTTAAGACATGTTTGTTAGGGAGACAGGGGATCTATTCTAGTTTTCACACACAATGGTGCCCTGGAACCCAAACAAGAAGTAAAGAATATTACTTCCCAGGAACCCACATGGGGAACAAAGAATATTGATTCCTCAATCGGCACTGTGCACTTCTTCTCCCAGCAGTCTACAATTCTTCACCCTGCACTCTATATTTTATTAAACTGCACTCTACACTTCTTTACAACATGTCTACCCCCAGCCCTCTACTCAGCGCTACTTCAGTCTGAAAAAGTGGTTATGCTGTAATGTTGTGAAGTCTCAAAGACTCCTTCAATCCCTCTTCCTCTTGGTCATCCCCTATTCCTGGTGTTTCTACGTTTATGATGTAGGTTCTAGCCGCTGGTCTTATCTGAGTTATTCTCATTAAACAGTTAAACAATTTCAGTGTTTGTTTCACAATGAATTTATTATAGGTGTTGTTCCAATACTTGGTTAAAACATTTAGATCCACTCTCCCAGAGATATCAAAACCTCTACAGAGGTTATCTTACCCTGATCAACTTCAAGTCAATGAGGTCGCCACCTCCAGATAACCCATGCAGCCAGTTATCATGAAGGAGAAGAACCTGCAGACAACAATGGAGTGGTCACAAGAAGACTTGGCTGAGTTATCATAGATCATCAACAGTGATGCTACAACGTAATTTATGTGTCAACCTTCAATTATGTCATCACACTAATCTGAAACCACTGACTACCATGATCGCACATTATTTGCGATCGTAACTTTGGAGGCTCGTGGTCATGTTAAAACTGCATCTACTGCAATAAATGTAGTTGAAACCGTTAGTCCATTCATTTCTCTATGGTCGTTCAAGGGAAACAATTTGGTAGTGCTCAAAGTAAATTTTCTAAGAATGTTTTTGTGAGCTCCCATGTCGATGTTGCATTAAACAATATTTTGATAATAGCAGCCAATTGTTAGGGCTTGGAGGAAGAGTTTGAGGTACATTCCTGATGCTATGGGATATTGTTTTGATTGTTTTGAATTGGAAAGTAAAGCAGAAATTATTTTTGAACGGTGTCATGACTGTGACTTTGATAATTCTTATGAACTGCCATCAAAAACATTGCCAGAACTGAAACACGATGACAGCAGTGTCCCTTTTGGCTCTGTGGCTTAAAACTTTGTGAAAATTGTTTCACAATGCAATCCTCGATGTTTATGGGGAGGTGTTTTCCACTAAGTGAGTTTTGGCTTTTTGAGTTTGATAGTTCAGTCATACTGTATAACTATTCTTGGTGCAAAATGGCAAATAGTAAATGAATTTGCAGAATTTTATTTCTCATCAATGAATAACTACATTAATCTTAAAGGAGCTCAATAAATAATTAACTGTATATCTGATACATCCACATATTTAAAATATTCATTAGTTATCAATTTAACCACATCATCAATTATTGTGCTTGTGATCAGTAAATTTTTTTTGTTTAAATCAGATATGCACTTACAGAATCCTTTTTTTCTTTATCTTATGTGTTAACCCTCAGAAGAGAGGTTGGTACATTGTGTTGCGGTTTACAGCTAGAATGTTATATGGAGCTTTTAGGCTGACCACATCCGATTCCAGCAAAAACCCTAATTTGTCACCTTTTATGACATAGGAGGTCACTAGGTCTACCTTTTCTCGTCCTTAAACAAGGCTGGAAACCTGGTGCATTCACATCATCAAACATAAGTCTAATCAATTGTTTTAAGTTCTTCTTACTTATCTGCCTACGCACAATACAGACACACAATAATGATTTGTTAAAACCACCCACCACAGTAAAGCGACATCACAAAGATAACAAACAGCCACACAATTGAGAATCTGCTGAAACTCGATGAGCTGAGCTGAAAGACAGATATCACAGTCTAGCTGTAAACCACAACATAATGTACTAGTTGCCCTTTTAAGGGCTAATGCTGGAGATGAAGAAAAGATTGGTATAGGCTAACTAAATTATTTATTTACTAGCAACATAAAAGACTGGAATTAAAAAAACATGCCTGTTTCTGAAGCACTTTGCAAATAGCATATACTCCTGATGGAACCTAAAAGATTAATATAAAACAAGGTAAAGTTAAAATTCAAGTCAGGAAGACTGACTTTACTGCTCCAGGTTATCCCATATGGCTCCATTTCTCTCTGCAGAATGGCACAAAGCATGAACTCTGCAGCATCAGTGATCATCCCCATGGATCAATAAAAACCCCACATGTGAATTAAACGATACGTCCATAAAATAAACCCACTTCCTTCGGAGTGTGCAGCATGAGCTTGACCTCTGCCACGGAAACCCCCGAAACAAGATAACAAAATAACATAATACAGGGTGTTTGTAAAGTCTTACTACATTTGTACGCAGAACACATTTGAAAAACCCAAGTACATGATGTTATCTAGTAATATGCTAAAAATTCATTAAATTAGTAAGAGTCATTGCTATGGTCTAACTATGTTTTAAGGAAGCTCGAAGCACCAGTGAAATATTCACTATTAGAGGTCTTTAAAATGTCCACAACAGGCTTCAAGACATGTCTGTACATGTCTCTTCATATTGTCATATACCTTCTGCGATTATTGTTATTTACTGAATGGTAATTCTGACTGCTTCCGTTGCTAACATCAATCTGTTCTGAGTGCAAAGAATTACTCATGTACTTTTTTACAAAATGTAGTGAGACTTTACACAAACATCCTGTATATACACCTAAAGAAGCAAAGGACACACTGATGTGTGCTAAGTATATGGTAAAGCAAAGGATCCTTTTCAAACCTTGAGACATATTGGGCATGTAGTGCTAGATCTATACTTTTTTTTCCTGCTCGAAGCGGACTAGAACCCATGACCTTTGCATAGGCAGCTGAGCATCTAGCCACTACATTTCAGTGGCTGCCTAGATATATTTTGCTAGCCAATTACTGTTTACAGATCAACTGCTGCTGCTACTACTATCATTTCTACTCCTCCTCTTTGTCTTCTTTTTCTTCTTCGTCTTCGCGTTCACTGGCTGCAAACTCCGGTGGATAGTTCTAGTTATTCGTCCACCTCTAGACTGTATTCCTGGAACTTGAGTTTTGCACGCTTCCTTTTTACATATCTAGCTTATTTGATGCAGACTGTTGGTTCCAGACCTCTCAAGCAGAGGCACTCCAACTTCAAATGAAACCCCTAATTAGTTGACTCTTATGCCTCTTATTAGGGAGGCAGTGGGTCTCATATGTTTGTCCCACATACTGGGGCCCCAGAACCCACACAGGGTAACTTATACTCAAAAGATGTAAAGTAAGTGAAGTAAAGGACTCTTTTCCAAGCCTTTAGGCATATTGGGCATATAGGGCTAGACCTATATTTTCATAGACCAATTAGCACAAGACAGGTGATGAGGTCAACATCACGCCAGCCGCCTCTACTTCCCGGGAATGCACCCGGTACCCACTCAAGGCTGGGTCGACCTAAGAGCAAAGGTCATTTTTTTTTAAAGTCCGGCTCCGCCAGGGAGCAAACCCACAAAATTCCGATCCGCTGTGAGCGTCTAGCCGCTCCGCCATGGGGACTCCCACTCTATAGATGATGTAGTCAATATTCCCCCACCTATCTTTACTGACAAGCACATTTTCTCGTAGCTATTTTCAGGAGCTGGACCTGGCCGCTCAGATCAATTTTTAAAACAAACTGGCCTAAAAGCAGATTCAAATCCAAGACCTTAAGGCTGACAAGCAAGCATCTAGCCACTGCACTAACATTATTTCTACCTGTATAACAAAAGTCATCTGGCTTTAATGATAATACAGCAGACTGCAGGATAAAAAGCATACCTCTGTCAATTCACAGGAAGACATGTCAAATCTGGGTTCTGGATCTTGCTGAGCCTGAAAGCAACAATGTTCACTTTATAAGTAAGTGAAGTAATCAAGCAAAATAGCAGTTCTAAATTTTAAACTTCGCAAATTGGATTTCCATGACATGGAATGAGTTAAATAACCATTAATTCCTTCACCAGCAACTTCTGACCTTCTACTGTCCTTACAGCTAGTACACTAATCCACTCATTAGCAACTCCTGACCTTCTACTGTCCTTACAGCTGCAACACTAACCCACTTATTGGCAACTCCTGACCTTCTACTGTCCTTACAGCTACAACACTAACCCACTTATTGGCAACTCCTGACCTTCTACTGTCCTTACAGCTAGTACACTAATCCACTCATTAGCAACTCCTGACCTTCTACTGTCCTTACAGCTATAACACTAACCCACTTATTGGCAACTCCTGACCTTCTACTGTCCTTACAGCTAGTACACTAATCCACTCATTAGCAACTCCTGACCTTCTACTGTCCTTACAGCTACAACACTAACCCACTTATTGGCAACTCCTGACCTTCAACTGTCCTTACAGCTATAACACTAACCCATTTACCAGCAACATCTGACCTTCTACTATCCTTACAGCTATAACATTAACCCAATTACCAGCAATTTCTGACCTCCAACTGTCCTTTCAACTATAACATTAACCCACTTATCAGCAACTTCTTACCTTCTACTGTCCTTACAGCTATAACACTAACCCAATTACGAGCAATTTCTGACCTCCAACTGTCCTTTTAGCTATAATAGTAACCCACTTATCAGCAACTCCTGACCTTCAACTGTCCTTACAGCTAACACTAACCCCCTTACTAGCAACTCCTGACCTTCAAGTGTCCTTACAGCTATAACACTAACCCACTTATCAGCAACTCCTGACCTTCTACTGTCCTTACAGCTATAACACTAACCCAGTTACCAGCAATTTCTGACTTCCAACTGTCCTTTCAGTTATAACACTAACCCACTTATCAGCAACTCCTGACCTTCAACTGTCCTTACAGCTATAACACTAACCCACTTATCAGCAACTCCTGACCTTCAAGTGTCCTTACAGCTATAACACTAACCCCCTTACCAGCAACTCCTGACCTTCAAGTGTCCTTACAGCTATAACACTAACCCACTTATCAGCAACTCCTGACCTTCAACTGTCCTTACAGCTATAACACTATCCCACTTACCAGCAACTCCTGACCTTCAACTGTCCTTACAGCTAACACTAACCCCCTTACCAGCAACTCCTGACCTTCAACTGTCCTTACAGCTATAACACTAACCCACTTATCAGCAACTCCTGACCTTCAACTGTCCTTACAGCTATAACACTATCCCACTTACCAGCAACTCCTGACCTTCAAGTGTCCTTACAGCTATAACACTAACCCACTTATCAGCAACTCCTGACCTTCAACAGTCCTTGCAGCTATAACACTATCCCACTTACCAGCAACTCCTGATCCTGCATCCGATTTCTACATTTTTCACTCTGGCGACGAAAGAGAGGCATTGTTCGCTTGGATTCAGAGTTCTTCAAACTATTTCCTGAAGCTTCGCCTGTGGATTATACACAATTGAAATAATGGATTAAATCTGGGGTTCTATGTAATATTTGATAGATGTAGTTCAAAAATATTCAAAAAAGTTGTAGCAAAAAGGTTTTTAAAAGCTGTGGTGAAAAGGTTCAAATAAGTTTAGCAAAATGGTTAAGATGAGATGTAGAAAAAAGGTTTAAGTAATAATATGCAGCAAAAAGGTAAATATTTCCAAAAAATAGATACACATGTATCTCATTCCTTCAGAGAATTGGAAGGTACATACTTCCATAAACCACGTATATAATATATCTAACTGATTTATACTTTCTGTATGTCTTGTAATGGTATTACACAATATGTTTACGTTATGAATAAAATTTCTCAGGAGGTGTGGGTGCAATTCCAAAACCTGTCTATAGCATAATGGAACTTCTAAAGCATAATGGAACATCTATAGCATAATGGAACTTCTAAAGCATAATGGAACATCTATAGCACAATGGAACATCTATAGCATAATGGAACTTCTATAGCACAATGGAACATCTATAGCATAATGGAACACCTATAGCATAATGGAACATCTATAGCATAATGGAACATCTATAGCATAATGGAACATCTATAGCATAATGGAACATCTATAGCATAATGGAACATCTATAGCATAATGGAACATCTATAGCATAATGGAACATCTATAGCATAATGGAACATCTATAGCATAATGGAACATCTATAGCATAATGGAACACTATCGTCTGGAAAGACAGAAAGGTACCAACATGGTGGATCAGGATAACTTATTTACATTATGCATGTAGTAGGAATCCATTTAAAATGCTGAGCTTGGAAACTGTTGTAATATTTCTTTCGTTCATCACAGTTGTATCCTGACAATGCTATTCTTGAGTACAGCACACACAAAATTTCTATTGCTCAACCTGGATATCATCCCAAAATTTGACTCTCTCTCTCTCTTTCTCTCTGAGTGTGTGTGTGTGTGTGCATGCATGCACGCATGTTCATGCATAGTTAGAAAGAAAGACAGAATCGTTGTCTGTGAGTTCCATTACTATTTTGGTAGGGGCTGTTATTGGGTGAAGCTTGGAACAACCATTAGTACTAACAAATCACCACCCAATGAATATCATGCAGTTTTGAGAATAAGTTGATTCGATGAAGGTCACCCAAGCATCTTTATTTACCATGAAATTTGCTGGTACCCATTTTACGTAGCATTAATCTAATAGTCAAGGCCAGCCATTTAAAAAAAAAAAACTGCCTTGTGCAGATTTAAACTCAAGACATCAGGGCCAATAGATAAATGTGCAGAAGAATAAATTACTACTGCTGCTGTTCATTGCTTTTGAAATGCAAAAAGTAGTTGCAATAAAGACAAAAGAGCAAAACTAACAAACAATAGCACAACAATACATATCCTGACAACTTTGTTCACATGTTATATATAGAGGTAACAAAAGTTATATGCTGAATCTAGAAACTGCTGCCAAAATAATTTTATATTAATGTTGTTAGATGCCGACAGTGACAGACTCAATGAGCATGCTTAAGAAGATCCAAACCTGCTATTTTGCACTAGAATAGGCTGACTGCATACAGAAGTCCCACCTCGAGAAACTATCTTGGTTATACATACCAAGACATGCCAGGGTAAAATGAAATTAAAGAGAGGACAGACTGGCTGTGTCTGCAGTGGTTGGTGGAGAAAGAAGTATGGACAGGGCAGACAGAAAGAATGTGCCTGTTGCAGAGAGGTTGAAACAAAGTGGGGTCAGCAACGACCAACAAATGCTTGCTGAAAATGAGTACTAAATGAGGATAAGCAGGCAGAACCCCTTGCACGGCATAGAAAGAAGATTTGCCAATCAGCTCCTGCTGGGTACTTCAGCATGGGAACACTGAGATGGCTGCTGCATAGGAGGAGGGAGGACAGTACAAGAGTGGGCTGCACAAATGTTCTAGGATGTCAACACGGACAACAAGTAACAAGATCTTGACAACTTTATTCACACACACACAACAAAGGTAACAAATGTTCTAATGCTAAATCAATCAATCAATCTCTCTCTATCTCTCTCTCTCGCACATGTGTCTGTGTGTGTGATAAATCTAGAAAATTTCACCAGTTTCATTCACATAATTTTTAAATCTATAGTTGGGTTACTCAAATAAAGAGACAAGAAACTGTCTAATGACGAATCTAAATTATCGTAACATGTGCATAGGGAGAGGAAAATAAGTAACTTTTCAACACAAGTGTTATATGTAATTAATATGTTATAACAGTTAATTTTACATTTTAAAAAATCTTGTTAAACATTACACATTAGGACTGCAATGGTTGGGGGGGGGGGGGGGCGTACAGAAAGATTGGCAGATCACAGAGAGACAAAAACTGTAAACACAAGAGTTGAAGGAGAGCAGACCACAGGACAAACCATGAAGATGCTGGAGAGATAATATACAGGTGACAGACCTAAAAACACTTTGGGTCACCAACTGGAAAGAAAGGGCCAGTCACGCAGATGAATGGAGGTGATATACCCAGCAAATTAACCTCAAAAGCATTATAAGGCTGAAGAAGAAGTAAAATATTAAAGAAACAGAAATTACAAATGTATAACCCACAGATGTTACTAATGACGAAAACTGAAAATGTCACTGAAAATTACTGAACCTTTATACTAGCTGGATTATCCAGCAGAATGAACTTTAATAAAATAAATGAACAAACATTATTTTCAAAGGGTCACAAACTTTGCAACCACTCTCAATTTCACAAGCAATTATTTGGTTTCAATGTTTTTTTTAATCTATAAAATATGTTAAGCAATAAACACAATATAAATATTAGGAAGATCCCAGGACACATACATAATATCTCAAACAATTTAAGACAATCAAGGCAGATTCATCAGCAGCGTCCGTGGCTAAGGCGTTGCAAGTCTGACTCGCAATTCCAACGTACCCAATCGAAACCCACTGCTGGCTGCATTGATTTTTATAATTGTATGGGGCGTCGCAGCCTAAAATGGGTACTAGGATGTATGTTCTGGGGAAGTAATGATGGCAGTAGTAATGCTGACCACATTACCCACCTAGTGCCGATTGGTTTGAAAAAATATAGGTGCTCATCATACATGCCCGATGCGCCTAAAGGCATAAAAAGAGACCTTTACTTTTTTTTCAGTCAGAAATAGTATCTTCTTCTTCTTAAAGTCCATGCCGCGTGGTGTTGGTAGTCATGTCTATCCACAACCTTCTGCCTTGTGTACTTTCAATCAACTCTGACACAGATGATCTTCCATGCCATTATGTTAAACTGTCCAGCATCTGTTCTCTCTGTCTCCCTCTGCCTCTCCTCCGCTCCAACTTTCTTACCATCACGATGTACTCTAGTTTTCTCCTTCTCATCACATGACGAAAGAATATAGATTAGTCTCTACCTGATGTGGGATAATCAGTTTTCTTCATGAGTCAGTTTCTTTCAAGATGTCTTCGTTACTCTTTTTATCTGTCCAGGGTATTCTCATCATTCGTCTATAAAACCACATTTCCGCAGCTTCCAAATAAGTTTTCACTAATTTACTAACTGTCCATGAGTCACATCAATGTACATATATGTATATATATATATATATATATATATATATATATATATATATATATATATATATATATATATATATATATATATATTATATATATATATATATATATATATATATACACAGAAATAGCATATATAGAAGTAATTATTAGGCCAGCATCATGTGTGCCAATATGATATAGCAACCCCTGATAATGCAGTAAATTGAAGGACCTTTTGCATGCCATTAAGCAGATTGGGCATATAGTGCTAGACTTTTACTTAATAGATCAATTGGCACTCGATGGATGATGTGGCCAACATCACGCTGGCTGCCTTTGCTTCCCAGGAATATACTCTGTACCCATTTTAGGCTGGGTCAACCAGGGAGTAAAAGGAATTTTGGACAAAGTCGGCTCGATGCAGATTTGAACCTACATCCTTTAGGCTTGAGGCAAGTGTCTAGCCACTTCACTATGGAGGCTCCCCAGTAAAGCAGTAGTAGTTGTTTTTAGTAGGTTTTGAAAGAGGCGGGAGCCCGAAGACAACTTATCACAGACATCAGAAGGAGACAGTCATCTTTTTTTGGCCATGTTATGAGAAGAGGGAAAATAGAACATGTGACCACTGGAAAGATATGTGGAAGGAGAGATAGAGGAAGACAACGAGAGAAGATGCTTGACAGTCTTGTTGCATGGCATGGAGGTGTGTCGGAACACGAACTGATACATGCTGCAGGAGATCGCAGATTATGGAGAGGCATGATCGCCCACGCCAGTCGGTAAGGCACCTGATGATGATGATGATGAGTAGTTTTATGCAGTGTGAATAAAACATTCGCATGCACCTGCACCAATAACAAATTAACCAACATCAGTGAACAGTGAGAGGGAGCCATGATAGCACAGTGTCTAGAGGCATCCCGACCTGCCTGAAGGCCTTGGTTTAACATTCTAACTTATGCTATTTTTTTCAAACAATTGGTCTAGACTTATTATAGGCAGACACAATGTAAAACATACCATAAAAATGTCATAGGAAGTAAAGGTGGACAGTGAGATACTGAACACACGATCTAAAGGTAAGCTGCTACAAAACAAGCTAGATGCTATCAAGGCCCTTTGGGAGCGAACAGTGTGGAGACAACTAGATCACTGAGATTTTAAGAGAAGGGTGCAACAGGAAGCGACCAGGGGGATCTGGCTGACATTCAACACTCCGGGAAAAGCCAAGTCGGCCACACAGACAGACAGCTACTATTACCATCGTCTCTAGAGCTATGTGCTGATCCCGAAGATGGGGAGGAGCATTGCTGAGAATATCCCCGAGTGCTATGATGTGAGTTCTTAAACCGGCTCAACTCAGTCTATTGACTGTCAACTGACTTTATAAATATGGGTCTAGCAATTTGAATTTTGAATTAAGAATCGACATCATAGCACCTGGGATACCTCGATAAGCGCTCCATCCCCATCTTCATCAGCAAATGAAGAGTTCCAATTCCAATGGCGCCAGTAACCATCTGATTGTATATCCATCTCGCCTTTCTCTTGAGTTCAGAGCATCGGCCAGATCACCGGGTAACTCCTCACAGTGCCATTCTCCTTAGACTGTATTGATCTATTTGCACTTCCGCACTGTTCACTTGCTCCTATAATTTGATTTGATTTGATTTGATTCAAGAACCGACATCACAGCACTCGGGGCATTCCCATAAGCGCCCCGTCCCCATCTTCAGCAGCCAGCGAAGAGTTCCGATACTAATGGTGCCAGTAGCTTTCTGATTAAACGTCCGTCTTGCCTTTCCTCTGAGCCTTGAGCTTCTGCCAGAACCTCTCGTCACCCCCAACTGCATCAATCTCACCAGACTGTGGTGATCCATCTGCTCCTCCGAACTGTACACGCTCTCCCAGAAGGCACTAACCACGTCTGCCCTATCATGTACCAGTATTCCACCAAGTTGTGCAGAGCCAGCCAGTCTGTCCGCCTGTTCATTTCCCAACACACCGGCGTAACCAGGTGAAAAAATCCAGACAATACTCCTCACCTGTGTCCTCCGCAGCAAAGCATGCCACTCTGCAAGAAGCATACCTGTTCTGATCTTCCTCAGCATGCTTTCTGAATCAGTTACAATTACAATGCGTGTGTGTGTCGTGTTCTCTAGCCAGCGGAAAGCTGCAGTGACTGCCTCCACCTCCATTCTTAAACTGGATGTTGTGGTATCATATGCTAGGCTCTCCTGCACCAAACGTCGACCATTAACTTTTGCTAAAAAGCCCCAAGCACTTCTTTTGCCTCTTGACACTGAACCGTCTGTGTAAATGATCAAATCCTCTGAGCAGGCATTATCTTGAATTAACTGCTGAATTTCCACCTCTGTGGCACCTGCTGGTCAGTCTCTGCATTCCCGGCTCAGCGTGATTAAGACTCTACACAAGTCTGACTGCTCAGGTGGCACTTTGACCCACTCCCCTCCTCGCCTAATGTTCTCAAGGATGCAAACCTGTCTGATTGTGTCTTCTGCCTGAGCCATCCATGACCTCCCTCTTATCAGCCGCTGACCCTTAACTGCACCCAGAGCTTCGTGCAGAGGGTGGTCTGTGTCTGCAGCTACCCTGAGATATGACTTCGCCTGCATCACCTTGTGCCTACCTGCAACCGTCGACAAACTAAGGATGTATCGCATACACACCACTGGTGTGTCTCTGGTGCAACCCAGAATGACCCGCATAGCCGTGTTCTGTATTCGCTCTAGTTTGTCCATCTGACTCTTTGAGACGGTAAGCAGTCCCAGGTCATAATCCACCACTGACAGGATCAGGTGCTGATATAGTTTGAAAAGCATTCTCTGCTCTATGTCAATTGCAGCCATAGTCTTAAGTGCACTAAGTCCTTTTTGGCATTTTGTCACAACACTCTCCACATGGTCCTTAATGACAGGCTCCTGTCAAATGTAATTTCCAGCTACTTCAGTTTGCTCTCTCTGTTGACGTCTCTACCATCTATCGTGAGACTTGGGACATTTGTTTTAACGATTCTGTTGTCCAGCAAACACCACAAAACAGACGCCTTTTCCGGGTGGATGACAGCCTTCATTTCTGTACACCACTCAGTCATTTTGTCTACTGTCGCTTGTAGCTCCCGAGCTGTTTGTTCCCTCTCTTCCCCCTGCTTATATGCAAGTATATCATCCGCAAAAGTCAGTATTCTTCCAACTCCTGGTGCTTCTAGGCTTGCAATCTTGCTCGTATACACATTGAAGAGCACAGGCGAGATGGCGGATCCCTGTGGCAGTCCTGGGGCCAAAGTGCATGGTTCAGAGGTCCATGAGCCCAGTCGGAGAGCAACCCGACGTGAATACAGGACAGCTGCAACCCAATTCACCTGCCATGGATTGACCTCCTTCTCCCTCAGTGCAGTCATTAAGATGTCGTATCTCACTCTGTTATAAGCATCCTGGAGATCTAGTCCTACCGCCATAGTTTCCTGTCTGTTCTGGAACCCTTCATATACGTCGAAAGCAAAAGTGGCCGCATTTGCCCAAGTGTCCTTTCCTGGCCTGTAACTTCCCAGACCTTTTGGGAGAAGCTTCGCCCTTTCCAAAAATTCTTGTAACTTTACAGCAACTATCTCCTCCAAGACCTTCCCAAATGTGTTTTGTAAGGTGATGATTATAAAGCCACTAAGCTTAGAATGATCTTTAAAAGGTTTTGGTAGTGGTATTAGTTAGCTGTGCACCCAGTCTTGCGGTACTGATGCTGTCTTAATACTCTGGTTAAAGCAGTCGGCCATCTCCGCCAGGTCTACATCGCTCAAAGCCTTCATGTGACCATACCTGACACCATCAGGCCTTGGTGCAGTGTCTTTTGCTTGTTTTTCAAAATTTGTTTGATATCTTCCACTTGTATCATGTCTTCATAATGCATATTCTTCAAGGTGCCAGCTAACTCCTTTCTAACCGCATCCCTGATGTCTACATCATTATGATCTGTCTGAGCTATAAACCTATGGAGAAAAGCCTCCCCTTTCTCCTTGTCTGTTGTCATACGCACACCATCGTCTCTACAAATTGTTCCGACTGTCATAGGCCGATCTTTTCTTTGCATCTGCCTTTGCAGTTTCCAGAATTTCCCCAATGTTTTATCGCCTCCCATGTCATTCACAAAAGTTTCCCACTTTGCTCTTTTGGCCTCTGCAGCACAGCGCTTGAAAACCTCCACCTTATCTTTTTTTCACATTCTCTGCCATCTCCACTTCCTCTCGTGAGCTTGAGGGTGTCTGTCGTACTTTCTTTAGCTGCTTCACTGCAGCTCTCTTTGCCTTCCATGCCTGTTCTACTTCTGGAGTCCACCATGGGGGCTGCAGAAACTGTAGATACTTGCTCCTAGAGTCAGTCAATGGCAACATAAAATAAGACAAGAGAGGAAATAAACCAATGGTAACGTAAGATAAAGATTAGCCAGTGAGTCAGTCAATAGCAACATGAGATAAGACTTGCCAGGGAGTCAGTAAACAGCAACAAGAGATAAGACTAGCCAGGGAGTCAGTCAATGGCAACATAAGATAAAACTAGCCAGTGAGTCAGTCATTTGTTCTTCCAACAAACTTAGCTGCATATCCTTTACAGGATTTTGCAAGACCCACCCCAGAATAATTTTAGCTATTTGCGATTTTATTAAGCAATTTTACGTTTAACAGTTTGCCACTGCTTTCTGAAGGCCAACTCTCAAAATCACTATTGAAACCAACAGAAAGCCAAACTGTCCACAGCTGGCATTGAACCCAGCACCTCAAAATTATAAAGCGTGCTCATAAGGCCTAAGCCACAGACATTTAACACCCCAAACAAGCACATCGTAAAAGGTTAATTAATAAGAGGTTTGCTGAAATGTTACATGTTGGGCTGAAAGGCACAGATTTTGAAGCTCCGCTGTAAATTACAGCACAATGTGAGCAGAAGAAGAACTCAACATTCATATAAAGAAAAAAACAATGTAGAACTAATTATTTCAAACAAAAACAAATCAAAACACAGAAAAATGATTCCGATACACAAACAGGTATCTTTCGTGCAAATGAAATACAACATATTATTTCGGCATTCATAAAGAAACAACCACAAAGCAAAGGAAAACACGATAATCTAAAAAAACTAAAACAAAAGATATTAACCTTTCTTCTTTCTGCTTAAAAATGGCATCTTTCTTGTCATGCATATCTGAAAGAGAAACATATACTTGCTGCACAGAAAACGAGACACATTAAATACAACAAAAACTATGGCTAGAAAGCTAAGCAGAGGGAATGGGAAGGATGTGCACAAATACAAATGAATGTTCTGACCCAATCTTTCTCAAAGGAATACTAGGTTCTTTATTAATATCCTACCCCAGATGACTTCACAGGACAGTCCAACATTTTAGAGGGTGGTAAGACTGGGTTTCCTGGCTTTCTGATGCTTTTAACGAACCCAAACATCTAGAACTGGCCCTAAACCCAACCCACCTATGTTCCACGAGAGAGTGTAGCCTAGGTCCCTCGACTGCATGCAGCCTATCTACCACCCCCTGATGTATTGAAGCAACATGAATTCATTAGAAGAAAAATAAATAATGTCAACAACAAAAAAGGTAACAATGACACTTTTAAAACATGTACAGAAGCAAATAACACTGCAGAAAAGATTTTTCAATGATATTTCATCTTCATCTGCGAAGAAGTATCAAAATTGTATCTATTGCTTACCAATACTGGAAATAAATATAATTGCATTACCTATATTCATTATATTGTTAAAATATCAAGGAAATTGTTTAACTTTAACTTTAACTTTTCTTTAACTCCACCATATTCCAGTATTCTGAAGAAAAAAGGTCAAATGTGAGCCAAAATTTCAGGTCAGGAACTTAACCTACACTAATATGTCAAAACTGAAAAGATTCATTAAATCGTTATAAAAAAACAATAAAAACCTCATCGCTTAATTACTATTTATTCTTACTACTGATAAGCATACTTCTTTATAGTGTCTGCTTATTTACTTCAAATGTAGCTCGGAAGCTGAAATTTTTATGGTCATATCAAGCACCATGGCAATTGGAAAATACAATAACAGAAGGCATGGTAACAGGAAGGAGGGGCAGGGGCCGACCAACACGAAGATGGGCACAGGAAATAAGTGACTCCTTGAATATGAAAGTACACGAGGTAGTCTGAGTCATAGTCTGAGTTTCAATTAGGCGGACCGTGATGAGTGCGACGTTCTGCAAAGGACCTGCTACACGATGATGTATTTACAGATTTGTCTACTAGTGCCAAACAATTATGTTGACTCTTAAAGGGTGGCTGGCATGTTGTGGTTTAAAGCTAGGCTGCAATATCTGCGCCTTTCAACCCAACACATCCTATTTCAGCCAGTCCTAATTCACTCGCCTTTTTCTCCATGCATGTTATTGAGGTAGTGGGTCTATTCTCATCCCAAAATGTGTTGCATCCGAACCCATACAGGAATAATACTAACATTTATCCCAGATTAACGGTACCTATAATGGAATCAAGGCCGAATGGTTGCGATATCCATAGTACCGAGCCAAAGGGTTTACAACTCATGGTTTCTGGATACGTTAAAAAAAAATAAAATCAGCAAAAGTTTTTACAAACCAACACAGGGTAATAGAGCTAATTTTTAAAGCCTAAATGTAAACAAAAATGTTTTAAAATACTGAATACTAATCTACTTTAATTATATAGCAAGGAGCTGGGCCGCATGGTTGCTAGATGCTTGCCAACGTCCTAAAATTCTTGGGTTCAATTATGCACAAACATGTACTTTTATATTTAAAAATGGGTACCAGGAAATGCCATGGGAAGTAAAGGTGGTTGATATGTTGCTGACATTATTGAGTGTCATTTTATCTATATTATACAAACAAGTGAGCCCTCCAGATCTTGATCCTGTAGTTCATGGTAGGTAACTCAAGAAAGTATTTCATTGCTACACACGAGGTGTCTCTTGTGTACCCCAGTATAATGTGCATTGCTTCATTATGCAACATCTCAAGTCTTTAAGTCTGAGTATGGCTGACAGTGAAAACGGCTAGAGCATATTCGATGGGAGAAAGAACTCGTCCCTGGACCAGAAGCAGTCTCTGCTCAGTATTGATGGCAGCCAGGACCCTCAATTTGCTGACAGGCCTTTGCTTTCTTTTGTTATAACATGCTCTTTGAAGGACAGGCTGCGATCAATCCTCATTCAGAGATATGTAAACAGGTTTGTTCTCGTCAAAATTTTGTCGCTGCCTTCCACTGCTGGTAAGTCTGCGTGTCCAAGAAGAACCATGTGAACTGAGGCCTTTGAAGAGTTTATATGTGCATTAGAATCTACAGACCAGGAAGAGATTAGATCAGATTCACTTGGCATTGAATCAGGAATCTCTTCCTTGTCAGTATACCATGACGAGATCAGCAAAGGACAAAGTCTTGCCGCTCCCATACAACTGCTGCTCAGTTATCAGCACTGAATACATTTTTAATATACTTGGAGACAGTGAAAAACCTTGAGGTAATCCTAGACTGATGGTTATTGGTTCTGAGGACCAATAACCACACTCGAGTATCACTTGTCTCTGGAACAGTGCTGCTGCTACTCAGTGGGTGGTGAAGGGAGATACTTTCAGTTAGAGAAGGATGTGCACCAAGTATTCAATTGGTACTCTGTTATATGCATCCTTCAAGTCTAGTGTTTAGGTCAAGTCTTGTTGAGCGGCACATACCAAACCTGACATCCCATACTGTGCCAACGGCTTTGGGTAGAGAAGGGTATTGGGGAGGATACTAGCCTTATTCTAGGAAGAGGAAATGCAACCTGAAAACTTTATGTTATTTCAGGGCAGACCAGGCCCTTATCCTTGCCTGGCAGCTGGTCTAGGAGGGAAGCTCCAACAGGCGGACAGATAGAGCACTGTTCTCCTGATCCGGAAGTTTCTGCAGCCTGCTTTGTTCCAAACATACTGGTGTTACCTTTCCTTTGGAGTAAACAAGGCAGGTGGAGGTAGGGATCATGATGCATGGGCAACATATGGTCTCTACAATACTGCCCAAGCTTTGAACAAACATGGGAGTAGCATCATAAGCTCAATAAGCAAAGGAATGAAAAAGGTCTTTTAGTTTACTAAGGGAATGTTATGTAATGTGTTGTGTGCTTATGTTACTTAATATGTTTAATTAGCAATAATAAAAACGTCACTCCTTAATTTATTATAAATTTTATTTATTTAATATTAATATAATATATTATTACTAGTTATTTCACCTTATTAATCTGAATAGGGATGACATTGTATATGATCATGCATTTATTCATTAATAAACAACAGTCTGTGTTGTATCTCGGTCGATTGCGCAAGCAACAATGCATAAATGTCAGCTACAAACAATAAATAACCAAAGTAAACAGAAAACATTCTAAATCTACAACAAATTATACCGTTAATAGGGATATTTTAAAGCTATTTTGACAATGATCATCTAAAAATTATTATTAATAACACAGTCCTTTTTTTAAAGGTATAAATTTATCAAAAACAGACCCCACCTCTTCTGCATTGTAATCTCAAAATAATAATAACAAACCTTGACGTCAGATTTTTCAATCAAAACTAGCAGTTGTGAAAACGCTGACTTGTAGCACAAAGACTACCTAGTAGGTGTGATCAATTGAATGTGCTAGAATAGATCAAACTACATGGTTCTCACATCTCAATCAGCACAAGGTTATGTTTTCGCTTCAGCACCCAGACATGACCAAAACCCACAACATTCTCAGCAAACGTAACCTATTGTCGATTTCAAAGAGAATCGATACTGATTTTTTTTATAGTCTGAACGATTCCATTATGAAATGGCTTCTTCTTCTTCTTCTTCTCTTCCACCTTGTACCTCATCGAAGTGTCGGGGGGAGCTGTAATGTTCGTTGATGAGCTCTGTCAAGAGCACTATTAAGACTGATGTTCATTTCTGTAAAGCTGTTCTTAATGCCATCACTCCATGTTTTCCGAGGTCTTCCACTCGCTTTATACCCGTTGTAACGTTTTAGTGTGGCTCGCTGTGGTATATAGTACCAGGGCATTCTTGTTAGGTGTCCAAACCATTTCATTTGTTGTTCTTTGATGACCTGTAAGACTGGCTTTATTCCTAGCATTCGTCTGATTTCATGATTTTGTATTCTGTCTTTCCTTGAAACTCCTGCAGCTCTTCTAAGGCATTTCATCTCTGTTGTCACAATTTTACGTTCATTGGAGGATGTAAGTGTCCACGTGTGGCACTGATAGCATAGTATTGGCCAAAAAATAGTTCTGATAAGATTCACTTTAGTACTCTGAGGTATCTGCTTGTGTGTCAACAGGGGAGATAGTTGACCCATTACTTGATTAGCTTTGGCACATCTGGAGCTAATGTCTCTGTCCAGATGAAATGGCTGAACCGTAATAATCGAACTTTTTTTCAGCGCTCATCGTATTAATATCAAGAAAAGATATAAACCCGAACGAAAAGTATATTAGCAAGCTTCACAATATAACAAATACAAACAAAACGTGGACGTTGCGGCTATTGAGCCTTCGTCGTCGTGTGAGTTCCGGGTCTCCATTGTGGGAGAAAATATTAATAGACCCAATGCCTCCTCAACAAGCATGTCGTAAGAGTCGACTAATTGGGAGATTCCTTTCGAAGTCTAGTGCATCTGCCTGAGAGAAAAGGAAACTACAATCTGTATAGAAATAACTAGGATACATAAAACGGGTGCGCACGCAACACTCAGGTTCTGGACAAGACTAAGGTCCAGAGGTGGACGAACAACCCGAACTTTCCACCAGAGTTTACAGCCGGAGAACGCGAATAAGAAGATTATCTATAAAAATGTAAATGTTCCGTTAAGGTCAGCATGAACGTCAATGCACATCGCTAGCCCCAAAATACTGCGCTGATCCATCTGTGTAAACTACATTGTCACCTTCAGCTATGTTTCCATCAATCAGCGTTCTGATTAGTAAAGTATGTCTGCTATCAGTTCTCGTTATGCCTAGTGGCACATGAGGCTTCAGAGAGGACTTTCCATGCTTTCCTGTCCTATGCAATCTTCAGTGCAGTTTTCCATGTCAAAGATGCCGCACTCAGGTCACTTTCCATCGTTCGTCTCCATGTTGTTTTTTGGGC